CATCATAGTGGTCTCTGACATCATAGTGGTCTCTGACATCATAGTGGCCTCTGACATCATAGTGGCCTCTGACATCATAGTCAGACTTGCTCAGGTGGAACACATTTTAACTTGCGTCTTTTTTCAATGCTGAATTGAATGTAATTGAGAACGGGTGTAATAATATATTATTATTTTTTGCAAACATCCTTTCTGAATTTAAAAGTAATCAAAGAAGTAATCATCTAGGTTTTTCTAAAGTATCTGTAATCTGATTCCAATATTTTTGTTGGTAATGTAACTGATTACAGTTACAGTTTTTTTTGTAATCAGATTGCAGATGTAGAATCTTAATTTGAGCCAGTTTGCTACAGCCGGATATTAATCCTGCAGCAACAGGAAATGTGAATTATTATGTGGATTATAATTCATGGACATTTTTGTAGGGGTTGATATATTTTTCATAAGGGAAAATTAAGTCTGAAATCTCAGAGAAGAAATAACAAACTTCAGAAGCCTTTTTAAACCTCAAATAAACTGCAAGTTCTCCTGCAACAGGGTGATCCTACATCTGCACATGTAACTGATACATGTAATCAGTTACTCCCCAACCCTGGTAACCTGATCCCAGATCTGTTTGTGCTGCCTTGCCAACTCAATGCTTGCCAACTCCTATGCATTGAGTTGGCAAGGCAGCGAGAACAGATCTGGGACCAGGCTAGCATGTATCATTGAACATTCTTTGGATGTATTATGATATATAGGCCACAGTAGGCCACACTCTCCTGAGAGCATACTGCAGTGCCACAATTAGCAAACGATTTGTCCATCAGTGTTTCATAGGCTTCGTCCCAAATGGCACCCTATTCCTTATGTAGTGCACTACTTTTGACGAGAGCCCTATGGTCCCTGGTTGAAAGTAGTGCACTATATTGGGAATAGTGTGCCATTTGGGACGCATACACAGAGGTCGAAAATACAGCCCAGGAACAAAGTGGCTGAATCGTTCCAGGTGGCAAAATCTCTTGTTGCAGTATCCCTCTGGAACTAATAAGGCAGGTACATTTTCACCCTCTAAATCCCTAACATTGGCCGGAATGACTGATTTACTGCAAAGAATTTGACTGAAATTCAGATAATTATACTTTTTACACTTGAACAGCTGTTGAGCTTGTTGAGCTGTTGAGTGTACAAAAGGTTCCCACATTATTCACAGGTCTAAGGAGAAAGCAGGTCTAAAAGAAGTGAGGATAGGACTTATGATATGTCATTTTCTGACATTGTTGAAATTACAGTAGAACATGTTTTATTGGTTTTGCATTTAACATGTTATGATGCCAACCATGTTGAAAGAGGTTAAATGGGTCTATCTAGATACAGTAATTGAGATGGTTTTAAGTGACCTGAGATGTTACAATTCTTAGGAGGTTACTTGGTTTTTCTGGAGTTTCCTAAAACACTATTACTTTGTTATTACACACATTGCTGTTATGTTCTTACCATGCATGTCGCCTACACACACAACTATAAGGCAGAGTGAAAGTGAAGCAAGATGGATTGTGAGTGAGAGAAAGAGAGAAAGGGACCATTTGTATCGAAGGAGGCAACAGCCTCTAGAATGTTATATGTGAAAACCATTCTGTGTCATGCGTTCACATGGAATACATATTACTTACATATTTACAGTACCAGTCATAAATGTGGACACACCTACTCATTCCAGGGTTTTTCTATATTTGTACTATTTTCTTCATTGTATAATAATAGTGAAGACATCAAAACTATGAAATAACACATATGGAATCATGTAGCAACCAAAAAAGTGTTAAACAAATCAAAATATATTTTATATTTGAGATTCTTCGAAGTAGTCACCCTTTGCCTTGATGACAGCTTTGCACACTCTTCGCATTCTCTCAACCAGCTTCATGAGGTAGTCACCTGGAATACATTTCAATTAACAGGTGTGCCGTTAATTTGTGGAATTTATTTATTTCTTAATGCATTTGAGCTTATCAGTTGTGTTGTGACAAGGTATACAGAAGATAGCCTTATTTGGTAAAAGACCAAATCCATATTATGGCAAGAACAGCTAAAATAAGCAAAGAGAAACGACAGTCCATCATTACTTTAAGACATGAAGGTCAGTTAATACGGAAAATGTCAAGAACTTTGAAAGTTTCTTCAAGTGCAGTCGCAAAAAACATCAAGCGCTATGATGAAACTGGCTCTCATGAGGACCGCCACAGGAAAGGAAGACCAAGAGTTACCTCTGCTGCAGAGGATAAGTTCATTAGAGTTATGGTTTTGGGGTGCTTTGCTGGTGACACTGTCTGTGATTTATTTAGAATTCAAGGCACACTTAACCAGCATGGCTACCACAGCATTCTGCAGCGATACACCATCCCATCTGGTTTGGGCTTATCATTTGTTTTTCAACAGGACAATGACCCAACACACCTACAGCCTGTGTAAGGGCTATTGTACCAAGAAGGAGAGTGATGGAGTGCTGCATCAGATGACCTGGCCTCCACAATCCCCCGACCTCAACCAAATTGAGATGGTTTGGGATGAGTTGGACCGCAAAGTAAAGGAAAAGCAGCCAACAAGTGCTCAGCATATGTGGGAACTCCTTCAAGACTGTTGGAAAAGCATTCCAGGTGAAGCTGGTTGAGAGAATGCCAAGAGTGTGCAAAGCTGTCATCAAGGCAAAGTATGGCAACTTTGAAGAATCTCAAATATAAAATATATTTTGATTTATTTAACACTCATATGTGTTATTTCATAGTTTTGATGTCTTCACTATTATTCTACAATGTAAAGAATAGTAAAAATAAGGAAAACCCTTGAATGAGTAGGTGTGTCCAAACTTTTGACTGGTAATGTATATACAGTATATACTGTATATACAGTGCTATGAACAAGTATTTGCCCCCTTTCTAATTTTCTCTACTTTTGCATATTTGTGATACTGAATGTTATCAGATCTTCAACGAAAACCTAATATTAGATAAAGGGAACATAAGTGAACAAATAACACAACAATTACATATTTATTTCATTTATTTCATAAACAAAGTTATGCAACACCCAACACTGCGCTTCAGCTTCAGCTCACAGACGGATAGTCTGACATTCTCCTGTAGAATTATCTGATACAGAGCAGAATTCATGGTTCCTTCTATTAAGGCAAGTCGTCCAGGTCCTGAGGCAGCAAAGCATCCCCAAACCATCACACCACCACCATGCTTGACCTTTGGTATGATGTTCTTACTGTGGAATGCAGAGTTTGGTTTTCGCCAGGAATTACTGAAACCATGTCATCCAAAAAGTTATACTTTTGAATCATCTGTCCATAGAAAGTTCTTCCAAGAGTCTTGATGATCATCCAGGTGCTTTGTGGCAAACTTGAGTCAACTTTTTGGACGAGATGGGTCCCATACCAAAGGTCAAGCATGGTGGTGGTGGTGTGATGGTTTGGGGATGCTTTGCAGACGGATGGTCTGACATTGCTAAAACGCAACAAATTGGAAGTTTTGGAATGGCCTAGTCAAAGTCCAGACCTAATCCCAATTGAGATGTTGTGGCAGGACTTGAAACGAGCAGTTCATGCTTGAAAACCCACACGTCACTGAGTTAAAGCAGTTCTGCATGGAAGAGTGGGCCAAAATTCCTCCACAGTGACGTGAGAGACTGATCAACAACTACAGGAAGCATTTGGTTGGAGTCATTGTAGCTAAAGGTGGCACAACCAGTTATTGAGTGTAAGGGGGCAATTACTTTTTCACACAGGGGAATTGGGTGTTGCATAAGTTTGTTATTGAAATATGTAATTGTTGTGTTATTTGTTCACTTATGTTCCCTTTATCTAATATTAGGTTTTGGTTGAAGATCTGATAACATTCAGTATCACAAATATGCAAAAGTAGAGAAAATTAGAAAGGGGGCATATACTTTTTCATAGCACTGTATAAACTGTATATATATATATATATATATATATATATATATATATATAAGATGAAAAACAGCAGATCAAGGTTGGTCCAATGGTGCCATGAAACAACCACTAACCTGCAGTATGAAACAACCACTAACCTGCAGTATGAAACAACCACTAACCTGCAATATGAAACATCCACTAACCTGCAGTATGATACAACCACTAACCTGCAGTATGAAACAACCACTAACCTGCAGTATGAAACAACCACTAACCTGAAGTATGAAATAACTACTAACCTGCAGTAGGGGTGGAAGTTAATGTAGCTGTATATTTTCTTAGTCGATTCCAGGGAACAACGGTTTTCCATGGATAGATTTTCTAAAAACTAGAGGCTTGGTTTCTTTGCTATTCTGTTGTGTGATGCAATAGGGTTAATATTTACATTATATTTCTATTAATTGATTATTGGAAATTAATTAGTTGATTTATTAGTTGACAAATAACTAATCATAGGTTTGTTTGTGAATGTTCATGTTTTATACATTCAAGAATTGAGCTGAAACACTCATGTTTGATAACTTGTTAAATTGGTAACAATGCCAACATTGGAAGTAGCCTAGTAAGGCACAAAGCCTAGTCAATTAATGTGCCTCATATTATTGAAATACCACAACATTGTCAGGTGTCAATCAATACATGCCACTTTCAGTCCTCCTCAGCCTGTTACTATCTCCCACCAAAGGCTCCGCCTGCTCTCTGCAAGGATATTGCCTTTCCCGCAAGTGAAAGTATTTAAATGATGAGGGCAGGAGCCGCTGTATTCTGAAGTAAACCGGACCACAAGAAACACACGTGTGGGAGGTTGACATTGGAGCCCCGCTATATCGACCTTCTAGCAGCGTTTCTTTGAGAGGCAAACATCACCAGTGGCTACAAATACATAGAACTATACATTTTGCTACCATTTTTAATTGATATCTATGCAAGATTCTTGATTTTTTATTATTGAATGGTCATCCATCTCCTCACTGTCGCGCGTAAAATATGCATACAAACAGGCTTATCTCCTAGCGCGTAATAATTCCATCCCACCAGTGCATATGGATTTATTACAATTCCACGAAAGCAACCGGGATATACATTATCTCTACTAAGCAACATCAAAGAAGACCTTGAATTCTGCAGGGGAGGGATGATTGACACGAGAGGGAATTGACTGACTTGTGGAATAACGGTGGTCGCTTGATGACAGCGCGTGCTCTTTCCCTGGGACTTTTAATTCTGGATGGCCCCCTGAACGTCTTTAAATCGTCCCGGAACGTTTTATTGTGAATACTGTCAATGAGTGAATGTGAATCCTACCTGGAACTTCAGTTGTTTCTGGATCTCCATCGTCGGGCTATCAATTTATAAGCTGTAACAGAAGGGAGATAAAATCCAAGCTGAAACTCCCGCTGGGAAGGACTGTTATTTCCCAGAGAACTCACGTGGAATTGGAATAGTGGAATTCATGAAGGAATATTTGACTTATTTCAATATGAGGCTTAGAACATCGAGATTAGGCTACCTGTGAGTTGTTATACTACTGAACTGTTAAGATTTAAGTAATTGGCTATATAGGCCTCTACAGTTACTTGACATATTTGGAAATGTATATGAAACATAAATATTTCTTTCTTTCTCTTTTATGTTTCAGGTTACTTCAATTCTTAGCGCTGTGCTTTTACACACAGGTACGAACCTGCATGCCTTTTTATGAAGTTTGCAGAGCAATGGACATACAATAACATTTCATAGCCCCTTAAAAAGATTTCAGTCCATCAATGCAACTAATTATACCCATTTACAAGCGTTTTTATTCTTATTGATATTAATCCAATTCGTTTGTATATCTGCAGTAAATGTGTAATAACAATGAAAACATTTTATTATGAGTCCTAAGCAGTTGGCAACAAGTCAAACATCTTGAAAAGACGTAAACGCTCGCCTAAAAGGTAATTGTTAAAACATATGGGGATGGCGTATGGCTGAATTGAAAAATAATCGTTAAGGGATATAGCTAAGGGAGATGGGGGTGAAAGATCATTCGTGGTAAAACAACCTATCATAGGCATGTCATCTCGAGTGAGGACAGCGGACTCGATGCGTGCATCTCCCCAAACACTCACCATGCAAGGGCACTGTTTTTCTTCTAAAAGCCATGTGCTCGCAATTCCCTTTGAAATGCCTTTAACCTAAGCCCATATGAAAAGCATATGATTGGTGTTCATTGAAATAAATAAACATGTTTTAGTTGGAAAATAACTTGATCTGCTTCTCATTCATTTAGACTGACCATCAATTAACATGAATTATCAGTTAGGCTATGCTCACTGATGCATTTACATTTATAATTCAATCCTTTTATTCATGCATTTTTTTGTATGTGTTTTTCTTGTTTGACAGAACACAGTGCAGTCCCACTCCCCACCTCCTAATTTCAAGCACCATGTGAACGAGCAGTGCCGGTTGTCTGACCGGATGAGCCGCCGGTTGATTCGGACCTACCAGCTCTACAGCCGGACCAGCGGCAAACATGTCCAGGTTCTGGGCAATAAGAAAGTGAATGCCATGGGCGACGACGGAGCTGTGCACGGTAAGAAACGAATAAAGCACGTCTATAATGAAACGGGAGCCTTCAAGTAGGCCTAGGCATTTTCGTAATAATTGTAGGACTTAATAATTGTAAGACTACAGGCCTAGGCCTATTCCAGATTTTGAAATTACCTAAATCTATTGATGGACACACGTCAATTTACAAGTCATGTAGGCGTATTGGAGAAGAAAATTAGGTATATTTTACAATTTAAAAAGCAAACAGTTCTATTTAGCATGAAGAAGTTTAGGTTTGAGTAGGCGGCGGGAGGGAAAAAATTCACCCGAAATGGATTCTATAGTATTGTTCTGTACTGGGATTCTCGGGAGAAACCCACTCAGAATATCTGGAAAACACATCAGAACTCGTCTTACTTTCTACCTTCTTAACATTTTCTGAGTAGCTTACCCTGTCAGAAGCGGTTGAAATACAGAAATATGACTTGCAATTTTAATAACCTTGAGACTGCCTATTTTTTTTATTTGCCACGAGAATTACAAAAATGTGATAAATGTAATTGATAAAACAGAATTGTTTTAACTCACTTATCCAGAGTGGTGCTGAATGGCCCTTAGAGACAATACATTGTTTTTGGAAGGATTTGGGTAAACTGCATTTCTACCAAGTGAAATAAATAGGACAGAATTTCTCACAGGGCAACTTCATCGCACTGTTTCATCCACATTAAATTAAAAAGTTGTATTTCTCAACAGTGGTGGTCTAGACGTTTTCATAGGCCTCCTATGCACTCTTTGAAAAAAGGTTATTCGGCTGTCCCCATAGGAGAACCCTTTGAATAACCCCTTTTGGTTGCAGGTAGAATCCTTTCTACAGAGGGTTCTACATGGAACCCAAAATGGTTCTACCTGGAACCAAAAAGGGGACAGATGAGGAACCCTTTTGGAAAAAAACATTTCTTAGAGTATAGCCTATGGACAAAGTGTATAGACAGCTGTTTTGATTCAATCTATGCTAGGTTGGTAATTTTTTCTTCCCACAAGGAAAAAATGGTCTGAAATTTAAATGGAGCAAATTCCTGTCACCAAAGTATTTTTTTGGTCTGTCCAGCCATCTTTCCACCACTACCATCCATTTCTCTCTATGCCTGCTGCCTGCTTTTTGGAGTGTAATTTTATGAGGAATTTTCATTGCTTTACAACTCAATGTATGACTCGGTTTATAAAGAGCGGTGAAGTCAGCATCTTCATTTTATCCCCTCTTTTCTCTCTCTGTTCCTCTTTCTTCTGTGTGCTCTCTCTCATTTTCTTCATCTCCCTCTCCCTCACACACACATACACACTCACACACACCTCGCCTTCACACACACCTCGCCTTGGCCTGAGCGTGCATGTCCTAAGTGGGTGTCACTCTTATAGCAGGCCCAAATCTGACCACTGCTCGGTGCTTTTGTGGCTGTGTCACTGACCGCTATGTTCTCTCACTCCCTCGTTCCTCGTTCCTCCCCATCATCTATGTGGATCGTAGCGCGGCATTTTACAGCCGTTCAATGACAATGACTCAGTGCGAAGTCAAAGCCACTTTTGCTGCTATTCTAAAATACTTTAGTGTTTTTTGCCAATGTTTCGAATTTAATTTATGTTTGAATGTTTTGCCAGATACAATACTTTTCTCCCCGCTGGATGCATGGTTGATGCCATGATAATGAGTACTACAACTCAGCTGAAGTCATTATAACATAATACATAATAACTTAAGGTTATTACATCCAGGTTAAATGTAGTCCTCTGAACCAGTCATTACAATAACTTCACACCCTTTCTGATGTCATCACATCAATACTACTGGGCAGGCATAGTGTCACAGTCTGAAAGTTCAATTCAGTCTCAAATGATACTATTGGATGATTTTTTCACATGCATGCATATTGTGTAGCATGTTCACAAAACAGAATAACCTCATACGCTTGAGAATCATTGTGCATTGTATCTGAGCTGAATACAATTAAGAATATGATGTGTTTGATGTTTTTCTAGCCAAACTTGTGGTGGAGACAGACACGTTTGGTAGTCGTATTCGGATCAAAGGGGCAAAGACTGGCTACTACATCTGTATGAACAAGAAGGGGAAACTGATTGGCAAGGTACATATTTTATTTATTTATTAATCCTTTGTTTAGGGAAGTCACATTGAAATTTACGTCTCTTTTCAAGTGAGCCCTGGAGGTTGGTTGAGTTCAATAAGTTCTGTAATAATTTTGACTGTGACCGGGAATACAAAGTTTCAGGAAAAGTTATGTCTGTCCTGTGTAAGGCTCTTCACTTGAGTTATGACCAGAAAAGCCCTTGTAGGGAGTAGGACATGATTTGGAAAGAAACTTGAAGGATTTATAGGACATTTACTTGTCAAAACAATATTTTAACATCCTCAGAGACTGAACCCCTAACTCATTCCGTCTCTCACCCTCACCCCCTCCTCTCTCTCTAACAGCGGAAGGGTCGCGGCAAAGACTGCATCTTCACAGAGATCGTTCTGGAAAACAACTACACTGCTCTCCAGAATGCTAAATATGAGGGCTGGTACATGGCCTTCACACGTAAAGGAAGGCCCCGCAAGGCCTCCAGGACCAAGCAACACCAGAGGGAGGCCCACTTCATGAAACGCCAGCCCAGGGGCCACCTCCTGGGAGACACCCAGCCCTTTGATGTCCTCCCCCTCCCCGTGGTCCCCTTCCACCCCCGGAGGACTAAACATACCCATCACCACCGCTCAGGGGCCCACTGAGGAAAGAACCTACGAAGAAGAAGAGGAAGCATAGGGAGGGAGGGGAACACACCAAGCAAAAACTATTACGGGCCAATGGCCAATACCACTACCACATTTCTGCTGCTTGCAAGGACTCCTTTTGTTATGTTTTGTGCTGGATTTTGTCTAAGACAATGAGTAGACTATCTAATCTGCTACGTCAGACCGATGTTTATTCGTAGGAAAGAGGTTTTATAACCAGAGGACGATTTTAGTGCTCAAGCACTCAATGAGATTTGAATGAACGAAAGGACATCTTGGGCTTAGTGATAACCCTACTCAGCTATAAAGAGAGAATGTTATGAGAGAGAAATAATGAATACACATTACATGGCAGCTATCTTTGGATCATCATGTGGTTGCATCAACTAATTAACAGTGAATACAAGTAAAACACATTATTTTGCATTTAGTAGGCCATTTTCTTTCATTTTCGTTTTCTACATACAGTGGGGAGAACAAGTATTTGATACACTGCCGATTTTGCAGGTTTTCCTACTTAAAGCATGTAGAGGTCTGTAATTTTTATCATAGGTACACTTCAACTGCGAGAGACGGAATCTAAAACAAAAATCCAGAAAATCACATTGTATGATTTTTAAGTAATTAATTTGCATTTTATTGCATGACATAAGTATTTGATACATCAGAAAAGCAGAACTTAATATTTGGTACAGAAACCTTTGTTTGCAATTACAGAGATCATACGTTTCCTGTAGGTTTTGACCAGGTTTGCACACACTGCAGCAGGGATTTTGGCCCACTCCTCCATACAGACCTTCTCCAGATCCTTCAGGTTTCAGGGCTGTCGCTGGGCAATACGGACTTTCAGCTCCCTCCAAAGATTTTCTATTGGGTTCAGGTCTGGAGACTGGCTAGGCCACTCCAGGACCTTGAGATGCTTCTTACGGAGCCACTCCTTAGTTGCCCTGGCTGTGTGTTTCGGGTCGTTGTCATGCTGGAAGACCCAGCCACGACCCATCTTCAATGCTCTTACTGAGGGAAGGAGGTTGTTGGCCAAGATCTCGCAATACATGGCCCCATCCATCCTCCCCTCAATACGGTGCAGTCGTCCTGTCCCCTTTGCAGAAAAGCATCCCCAAAGAATGATGTTTCCACCTCCATGCTTCACGGTTGGGATGGTGTTCTTGGGGTTGTACTCATCCTTCTTCTTCCTCCAAACACGGCGAGTGGAGTTTAGACCAACAAGCTATATTTTTGTCTCATCAGACCACATGACCTTCTCCCATTCCTCCTCTGGATCATCCAGATGGTCATTGGCAAACTTCAGACGGGCCTGGACATGCGCTGGATTGAGCAGGGGGACCTTGCGTGCGCTGCAGGATTTTAATCCATGACGGCGTAGTGTGTTACTAATGGTTCTCTTTGAGACTGTGGTCCCAGCTCTCTTCAGGTCATTGACCAGGTCCTGCCGTGTAGTTCTGGGCTGATCCCTCACCTTCCTCATGATGATTGATGCCCCACGAGGTGAGATCTTGCATGGAGCCCCAGACCGAGGGTGATTGACTGTCATCTTGAACTTCTTCCATTTTCTAATAATTGCGCCAACAGTTGTTGCCTACTCACCAAGCTGCTTGCCTATTGTCCTGTAGCCCATCCCAGCCTTGTGCAGGTCTACAATTTTATCCCTGATGTCCTTACACAGCTCTCTGGTCTTGGCCATTGTGGAGAGGTTGGAGACTGTTTGATTGCGTGTGTGGACAGGTGTCTTTTATAGAGGTAACGAGTTCAAACAGGTGCAGTTAATACAGGTAATGAGTGGAGAACAGGAGGGCTTCTTAAAGAAAAACTAACAGGTCTGTGAGAGCCGGAATTATTACTGGTTGGTAGGTGATCAAATACTTATGTCATGCAATAAAATGCAAATGAATTACTTAAAAATCATACAATGTGATTTTCTGGATTTTTGTTTTAGATTCCATCTCTCACAGTTGAAGTGTACCTAGGATAAAAATGACAGACCTCTACATGCTTTGTAAGTAGGAAAACCTGCAAAATCGTCAGTGTATCAAATACTTGTTCTCCCCACTGTATATGAATATATTTTTTATTGGAAGATTTGTAAAATACTTTTAAATGATGGAAATATTTATTGTAGAGTGTATATTAAAATCACGAAATAATTTTGACTTAATGTGCCGTTTCTAACCATTTTTCTAGTTGGGTCACTTTGGGGTCCCAAAGCATCTAACGTTGCCTAAAAAACTTTTGTTTTGTTTTTTTATTCTCTGGAGACCCAGATAACTGAGGGGCAATATCTGTGACAGGCTACTGCAATTCAATGTGCTCAGCAAGTGAGACTTGGGCCTGAATAGCTAGGGCTATGCATTAAAAGCAGATGAGGTCAGCCCACAATTTTGGCTCAAGACAAAGGTTACCACCATGTAGTTGCATTTCTCACGATCGCACACCGTAACCCTGTGATCAAATGGGCCCTTTGTGGCCCTCATATAAAAGGACATGTTATACAATAGTGGGTTCGAATAATAACACGAGGAGGGGTCAGTTATCAAAAAGAAGCTAGTCTCACAGGAGGGAGGGAGGGGGTAGGGGAGAGGGAGGCAGGCAGGCAGGCAGGCAGGGAGAGAAAGTGAAAGAGCACCGGCAAAATGTGGCAAAATGTGGCACCGGCTGAAAGAAGTGGAATGGCTGGGAAGAGGCATTCGGGAATGAAAGGACGGGGCAGAAAGAAACCCTCCTCTCACTCCCAGGAGCAACTGAGCATGACCGGCAGAGGCCAAATGACAGACCCCCCCCCCCCCCCACCCCCCCTCACTGTTTGAAGTCTGGATGTCCTATTGGTTGTTTGCTAAGGGTCGGATTCCAAATATGAGGAATGGTTTTTCAGGATAGCTAAGCTCCAAGCGCCTCCAGCTTTGAGGACTTGCAAATGAATTAACAAATAAATGTTGTGATCAAAAGGTTCAATAAATCGGACAGGATAAAAACTCTGTACTTTTAGTGGTATTATTGTTACTCCTATTGAGAAACGAATGGCTATCCTCATGGCTCAATGGCTACTAGGACACATCATGCACATTAATTGTAGGATTATCCAGCTCTGCCAAATGAGAAAAGACAGCAGTGTACGCAAATCACCCTCCAAATGGTCGTTTAATTCCGTGTCCAAGGTTGTATTTGGACAACACATCGTCAAAGCAATCCAACAGCAACTCTTGATTTGAGACATGAGTTGAGCATTTTTTTCTCTGATGTTATGCTTTGTTTGGATCTGGTTCCCAAATCCCATTACATATCTTCTTCCCTTTTGGAAGTACAAAAAGCACAATAGTGAGTGACCTGTGGTTTAGTCACCGCTTTTAACCCTTGTACTGCTCACTTGGTTTGGCACAGAGTCCCAGAAATGCAAGGAATCACCACTAGGTTAGAGGAATCTATATTTAAATGCAATTGTTCCTTTTTAGCAGCATTGTTTTCTTTTCATGCAGCATCTATGTTTTGTTTCTAACTGCTCTAGGTAAGTAGCTATACAATAGCCCATTGTGTTAAAAAGTACATCAGTAAAATTCCACTTCAGTTTTCATTTAATTCAATCAAACTTTGATGTTCAAACCTCAGTCATATTAGCTTAGTCAGATATAATGTCTTGTTAGTGATGTCCCTAGAGTTTGATGGTCAAAGTTAGCAAGCATTCAGTGCAGATAACGTTTCTCATTGTGGCTGACTGTGGTACTCGATTTACAAAAGAGCCTACAACCTTTTCCCACTTTGCAGTAATTCAGTACTACTGTAATGCAATTACCTATATTTACAAAGAAGCACACAACTTGTTCACTTCCCAGTAATATAGTGCTTCTGTCATTCAAGCTCCATACCTATCCTTGGCTATCCCCAGCCCCATCCCTGGCCGTTGGACTAGTCTTGGGGTTTGCGAGAGGGTTTGTTGGAGGTCTCTGAGCCAGTAAAGTCACCCTCTGGAGGACAGGGCCAGGCTCAGGGGACCATTAAGACCTGCTAGTACTGGCTTGCTCGGCCATAATGGCTTTCAGGGTGGCCAACTCTGGGCTGCACAATCATGAGCATAAGGGTACTCAGTTAACACAAATGGGACGTGCTTGTAAGGGCGACCCCGTCGAGAACAGTGTGTGTGTGTGGAGAAAAATAATAGGGAAAAGGCATTGTGTGTTGGAGTGTTTTACAAGGGAAGGACACCAAGAATTGTGGGAAGGGGATGAACTCTCTGCGTTTGGAGTATTTTAACAACTAATAGTTGCATAGTTAAGGGAAAGGAGAGATGTAGAGACAGTTAACAACATTATGGAATTTTATTCATCTTCAAAGGACAACAACACGTGTTAAATCCAATAAGTCTTCGTATCTCGCAACAATGATTCAGAACTTTTTACAGAACAGCAGCGACATTTCTCAAATACCTTTTTGATAGAACACTTGTAAGAACAAGTTGAAACAAGCAAAGGAACAAGTTTAAACAAGTAACTATGTTTGTAATTCACTGTCTCAATACTACAGCCCCCCACCCAATAAACACAATGAAAAGTATGGACAAGGCAAGGCACTGTGCAAAAATGTTCCAATGGTGGAATCCCATTGAGAACCAGAAATCAGAGTAGAAAAAATACAGGATACTGCATCACCAGTGCAAATCAAAAACGACTTGTTTGAGTGACATCACCTCAGATCCACACTGGAACTTCATTGAGTTTTGCAGTCGACGTCCCCTTCATTGGTTCCCTTCAGTTTCTTCACCTCCCGGAGTAACTCGTGCTCAAGGGTTAATATCTCCTTGGGCTTCTTGTACTTGAAAGGAAAGACAGAATAGGTCATTATTTCTACAGAAGCCCGTTTCTCTTCCATGTACATCCTTTAGTGTAATGTTTGGCCTGCAGTGGGATAACACAGAGGCTCCTTATACCCTATATAGTGCACTACTTTTGACCAGAGTCGGGCTCAAAAGTAGTGCTCTATATAGGGAATAGGGTACCATTTTGAACGAACACAAGAAATAAGAAATCCCAATAGCACAGAGAAACCGATTATGATAGGTATACACATAAAGTAACGGTCAATCTCTTCATCAGATACTTAGTAGGCTATCCTAATGTTTGTTCTAACAAATTCAATGATTCAATCCCTTGAGTTTATTGGTGTGTTCTGATACAAGTGAGACGAATAGAAACATATCGTTTCAATCTAGTCTCCACTATCAACTTATAGTTTAGCTTCAAGTTTGCCTACCAGTCTCTGTATATTGGATATAAGACTTCATCCAAGGTGGGACTTGAGAAGTACTGTAGTTGGTTTGTTTGTTGTTGTTGTTGTCAGGAGTACTTACACTGACGATTAACGTGTTGTTGGCGTGGGTGAAGCTGAGTGCGGAACTATCCAATGGCAACTGGCTTCGGTCCAGATCAGGAACATTAAACTTCTTGTAGTACCTGCAAAGGATAACACACTGCAGTGAGGAAAGGGTTTCTTGAAGGCAAGAGATCAATATTTTTGTCAACAGTGCCACCTATAGGGGAGACATCCTCAGAGAAAATAAAGGAAAATATAGGAGGCCTTCTCCATTGTGAAGACGTTACAACTGTAGAAATGTAATAGACTTTGAATGTGGTATTGCTTTTCGGGGACCGGTACGTAACGATATCTGAAGTGATATAGGCCTAGCAGTTTATCAGTAGACTTCTAAGGGGAAACAAATCAACTGTAAGCTGAACTATTAAAAAAAATATGGAATTCCAAGCCACGTTGGCAAGAGAGTGGAATAGAGGCAATTTGGATGTTACTTTTTGTTATTTGTCCGTATGATGCAGCATCGTTGATCAGGCTCCACTGAAATGTTGTAGACCTCTTTGGGGTACGGAAGGTTCCGGACTCTCCACAGGAAACTGGTCTTTGTGTCTTTGCGCATAAATACAGGCTGTGGAAATACAACAGAGCATTGTACAGTTAAATGCATACTATTTATTGATGATTAATTTAATTGTGAAATTGTGAAAATGAAGTTAATTCCAAGATAGTAAAAATATTAGTTGACACATTTGGATGAGTACTGTTGTTGATAGTGAATTAGTATCAATTTGCAATTTAGTTCATGGACTGAAATATAACAGATGTATATATTGTATAATACAACTCACGTTTGAACAGTTTTCCTTGATAACATCTGATTCCAAACAGGCTACAGTAGATTGGACTAGCTCTCCAACTTCTATCTCCCATGGTCCCTGTCCTTTCAAAGTGCTTTTTGAACGCCACTTCCGTACTGCAAAGTAAACATGAATGTAAGTAACAACAGATGAGAGTGGAAACAATATAATGCACAGGAAGCAATGTAGCTAATGCAGGATACTTTTGATAAGATGTTGTCTAATCTGAAACAAGCTTACCAATGAGCTCATCTGTTGTCAAGTCATATTCTTCTGCCATTTCTTTCCCATCTGTAAAGAGATAGTGTATCTTCCTTTTCCCTGGAAATAGGTTTGCAACGCACCAATAGAAATTCATTTAAATGTGAACAAGCTAGCTTTTATCTTTGCTAAACAGATTTGCTAGGCAAAGTGAAAGTGAGTGTTGGTTAGCAGCTAATGCTAGTTAGCGAGCTTATAACTGACACTGACGTCTTACTAGATGAATGCGAGGGTAAATGTTGTGATACAAAATATTATAATGATGATAACTTTCTCTGTTTCACTCACCATCGTGTATTAAAGCGGTTTTCTTGGATGCTTTTAGGAGATCTGACCAGCTCTGCACAGCCATATTGCAAAAAACAGACACTTCCTAAAACATCACGTGTAGCCACGGCAACGGAGGTCATAGTGAAACGTATAAAATATATTTCATTTTTTAAAACTCTATAATCTGTCAAAAACATGCTTACATTTACTGGATAAATAATGTATAATTTTTGACAATATTTTCTGGAAAAATATTTAATTTTTTCGTGCAAAGACTAAAAATAGATCTATAACGAAACGGAAGTTGATTTATTTTTAAACTATCTGCATTGTCACATTGGTTTGTGATTTGGCCGTCTCAAAGGGGTAAAACATATGTATTTGTAGGTTTAAACAAAAAAGTTTATCGACCAATGATAGTAAATTAGCTTAATAAAGATATAACGTAACATATTTCAGTGGAGTGAGTGAATCTCACCTGTTCAAAACAGTTAAATGCCGTTGTTGTTGTCTGCTCGCTAGCTAGCTAACATTGCTAGCCAGTGTTTGTTGTCACATTCTGTTCTATATTTTGCAGGGCTCCCCTTTCCCTGGCAAAATGTCTGCCTACGGAATTATGAAAGCTTTCCCCAAAGTGAAGAGAGCAGGGGCACGTGAGGGAAAGGATGCACCCCCACCAAAGAGGAAGTCTGATGAAACTGTACCTGTTACAGGTGTGGGCCGTGTTTGAGAACATCAGATCCGTAATACATTTTGGGTAAATTGTGACTGATCTACAAATATTAATGATTTTTATTATGCTAGATTTGTAGATCAGTCAGTCGCTGACCGCAATGCAGTCGATGTTGAACAAGCCCTGTGTGTGTGTAAAACTGTACTTTTCCCAATCCCATTCCAGGGACTGCTTTCCAGGGCGTCACCGTACACATATTACCAACCGGCATCGGGAACGCCAGATGTCAGATCTTCCAGAGACAGATTGTCCAGAATGGAGGCCAGACTGAGAGCTCCCTCTGTCCCACTGTCACCCACGTTGTAGTGGATGACAGTATGGACTGTGACAGGGCTTTCAGGCTGCTCAAAGTGGACAGGCTGCCCTCTGGAGTTTATTTGTTGAAGTGCACCTGGCTCAGTACCTGCATCAGTGAGAAGAGACTGCTGGATACAGCAGACTACAGCCTACTCAACCCAGACAAAGACATGGAAACTACAAAGGAGGATGTCAAAGAAGACGTGCTCAACAGTGTCCCACTCCCAGCCACACAGGACATGAAGCAGCCGATCCCTGATGAAACAAAACCAGATGAGTCAACAGAGACTGTACGTTGATGACCACATAACCATTAACCATAACCCTGTGACTGCATTATAACTTCTTCTGGCCCTAATCATACACTTCTTTACTTCATGTATCCAAAGGTCCAAGACACTAAAGACGACTTCAAAGACGAATATGGCGTCTCCCAGAGCGATCTGGAGGCTCTGATCAGCGGCCTGCACCCCAAGGACGAGACCCCTAGCCCCAGTACTGCCGCTGCCCCCTCAGACCCCCAACAGAAGCCTCTCTCAGGGAAGTGGGTGTGTGCCCAGTCCTCCCAGTCCAAGGTTGACAACCACAACAAGCACATCACAGATAAACTGGAGGTGCTTGCCAAGGCCTACACGCACCAGGGAGACAGATGGAGAGCGCTGGGCTACTCCAAAGCCGTCAACGCCCTCAAGAGCTACCACAAGCCTATCACGTCCTATGAGGTGGGTCATTTAGTACCATATCTGCATAGTTGGTGATTATGGTCGGCCATTTTGTATTTGTGTCATTCCTGTCTCTCTATTCTCACTATTTCAAACATTGTGAAATGTGGCTGATCGGTTGGTTGGTTTACTTAACTGCATCCCTGTTATTGACAAGATGGATGCATAAATCGATGGCTGCCGGTTCAATTCAATTCTGTTTTTACGTGTTTTGTATCATATTGTACAACAGCTGATGAAGCTAACGCTAACGGCCCTGCTACACTAGAGCCATCGGGCGTCCGGCATTGCCATCAGCCGTCAGCCATTGAGGAAATGCTTTCTTTGAAATCAATGAAAGCTGCTTCACCACCCGTGTTGCGTCAAGCTCAAGAATCACCTTCATTCTGTCTTGTGAATTTAAATAATTGAGAAATTGTTGATTATTGTTGCATATGGCCTCGACTATACACCACTGGTTATTTTACATAGATTTATAATAATAATAATAATAATATGCCATTTAGCAGACGCTTTTATCCAAAGCGACTTACAGTCATGTGTGCATACATTTTTACGTATGGGTGGTCCCGGGGATCGAACCCACTACCCTGGCATTACAAGCACCATGCTCTACTACTACTACTAGCTAGCTAACTACATTGAATAGCTAGCAACTTGCAAAATTAGAGGATCATTTAATACAACCACTAGCAACAATTTAATGAGTACCTGCGAAAAACTGGACCAAAGCTATTGTACTTACGCATAATCAGTGAATATGGTACAGTACAGTAGGAAAAAGTAGAATAAAGAAGCTCCTCCCCCTCTGCTCCTCTCAGCTCTCAAAACAACGTGCTCTGTGTAGCAGATCAAACGTCACATTGACGAGATGCTGATGGCAAAGCAACATGACGTGTATAGTGGAGCTGAAGAGTTAGTGTTATTTCCTGATAGTTGCTTCATTTGTTGAAAACACAATCTACACAGGACCTTCTAATCAGCAGGTTTTGCATGGGGGGACAGGGTTCTCCCCAGGGTTTTTTAACAAGGTTGTGCTGCTGAGTACGGCCGGGGGAGGCCTGGAGGAGGGCAGTGCCCCCTGTTTGGACACCTGTAACTGCCATTTCTTGCAATATATTTAAAAAAAAATTGCCTTATATGATAACAATTAAAGTAACAAAAATTAAATGTAAAATATTACATGGTGGTGCAGCGCCTCTCTTCTAGTCTTTGGGGAGAACCCTGGGCGGAGTTTAGTTAGTTAGTAGACCAGTAACAAAGAGTTCCAAACTTCTGCCAATAACAGCTAGTTTTCTGTTTTTCCCTCCCCACTCTGACAGTCCTTGCTAAATTCTTGCTTCAGAAATAGTTTTTTGTTGCTAAAAAGCTATTTTAGTTTCTTTTTGACCATTTGAAATGGAAACTATTACAGTAAGGTACATAATTGTTACCCAGAAAGATTTGATATTAGGATAAAAATGGCTGCAGTGGCCCTTAACTCCTTGTAATTGACTAAGCCTAATTCAATGCATGAACAAACCGTAACACATGCCTGTCAAATTTCAGGAGGCCTGTAAGATCCAGGGCATTGGGAAGAAGATGGCTGACAAGGTCATGGAGATCATGGAGAGTGGGCACCTCCGTAAGATAGACCACTTGGGAGAGGCAGTGCCAGTACTGGAGCTGTTCACCAATATCTGGGGGGCAGGGGCCAAGACTGCCCAGATTTGGTACACACAGGTTAGATGGATTGATCTTACAAGGTGTTGGTTGTCACACAGTCAGTCTCTCTGTCGGTGTGTCTCTCTCTCGCTCTCTGATTTAGAATGCTACACAGCTCTGACTGTAAGATTTATTTTGTTTTTGTATTATGGAGTGTGCAGTTATTTTAGTGTTTGATAGTGTGATACAAATTGATTTGACATGAGCTAAAAAATATATATTTTCAATCTTAGGGGTTCCGTACTTTGGAGGACATCCGTACCAAGGCCAATCTGAACCACAACCAGATAATTGGACTCAAACACTACGACGACTTTCTGGACCGGATGCCCAGAGAAGAGGCAGCCGCCATTGAAAAAACGGTAACACATCTCCCTCTTATTGTCTCAAGCACCAACATTAAAGGTCAATCAATGTTAAAATGTAACATTCTATTAGTTATAGACTAAACAGGCCTCTTCCTTCCACTTCCCACTACGTCTAGCGGGGTTAAGAGAGTTTCTTTAGAAAAGTGTCTCCAGTCCAGTACTGTAACCCCCTTGCGAACAAGAGATCTTGTAAAGTGAAGTGCTACGGGACCTCAAAGCCAAGTTCCGATTTTTTTAAGTTTGCCTTGGCCGCTAAGCAGACTGTCAGTCCAGTCCTCCTAGCCTGGTCTGTGTGTGATGGAGAAAGCAGACATCCCGCTCTCTGTCAGAGTCCTGCCGGCCGCGTCCCTAAGGGGGGGAACTCGCTCTTAGAAATTTGGCGCATCATATGTCAGCAGATACCAGGGCCGCGTTTCATTCCAGAAAGGTGTTTCCTCCCCTTCTGCCTCCGTTCACTTCCTTTCATGGATCTGAGACAACTGGGTGGGTGTAAAGCAAGAACTCAATTAGATTCCACCCATAAAGATAGATAGAGGACTCATCATGGATATAACCCTTTTTAGCATGGACATTGCCATTGAGGGCTTCCACCATTTTAAAGTAGTCAACTGCATGGGGAGTCCTATGTGTTGGGAGCAATCAGCCAATGAAGAAGAATAAAATGGACTACTTTAAAATGGAGATAGCCCCATGCTGTCACAGATGTATAATGGCACAGATACAAAGATGAGTCCTCTATCTAGCTCTATGATTCCGCCTTATTGCTTTCACCTGTCCAGTCCTATCAGATCTGTGAAGGGGAGTGAATGAGGGAACATAATCCTGGAATGAAACGCGGCCCTGGTCACTGGGAGCACCGGGTACAAAGCCAATTGTTTTCATATAGTATTACTTGGATTTCCCTGTTCCTTTCGTGGCTGCCAGATATAACGTGCAGATTAGAAAGATGACTATAGCATGTGTCCTTCTGACTTGTGGCTTGTCAAAATAATATGTAGTGTCGTCAAAATGTATCTGGTTTGCTTGAATACGGTTAATGCTTATTTGTTGACCGGCAAAGCTTTACGAAAATAGACCATTTTCTTTTCTAATTTCAAGTAGGTAATATAAATACAATTTGAGGACTTGTCTTGGAGATTCAACACAAGTGTACAAAATGTTATTTTGAGTCCAAATATGAATGGGAAACAAACCAAACGTTCTGTTATAATGAAGGCCCCTGAGAGAACATTATTGGGGAAAACTTTTAAACATAGTTTAGAACCCATAACCATTCATTATAAATACATTGTATAATGCAAAGTGGTCCTCACCACCACTGGTCTGGGATCCAAACTGAATTGCTCTTTTTCACAGTTTTTTAAAACTGAGACAATAGTAAAACACAATAGTGTATCAGAAAAACAATAGTGAAATAGCGATTCAATTTGGATTCCCAGGCTACCCCACCCCACCACAGATTTGACTGTATATCAAACAAACAAAAATGTCCCTGTCCTGTTGTAAATGTATAGGTGAGAGAGCCCCCATCATATATTGTATCCCAAACTGTAAAATGTTTCACTGTATGTGAAACAAAGTTAATTCAGTGTTGTCTAGAGTTGGGCTATATATGATTAAATCAAATATTGTGATATTTGACATCGATGATATATCATGATGTGCAAGACTATACTCTAATTTAACTTTACAAATCAAAACTGCCTTTTATCAGTTAGGTTGTATCAATATGTTGAAAATGTAGTCTAAATAAATGAATTAAGCCTTATTTTCTTTTGCCATACAATTATTATTGAATGAGAATGCTACTATAATATCGTAAATAAGCACAAAAATTTCACAGTCTGGAATTATTTAGTCATTAACCCTTTACACTTGTGGGAATTGGCCTATATGAATAGGGATAAATTGAAACGTTTCTTACAGAAGAAATATGAAAAACATATGCATAACGATGGTATCAATTGCAAGGGAACAGTTTGGAGATACTGTGAAAATTATTAGACCAAAAGGTGGGCACACAACAGTTCACCTGACACAAGACTGAATCCAAACATTACACTGTTGATTTTATGTCCATTTTACATTTACTGTACTTTTCGCCGCGTTTGTTGATAACGAAATCTGAAAATACTCTGGATACATTCAGTAACATGATAAGAATATTCCTGGAAAATGTGAGGTAGGTGCAACATGAGACAAACAAATGAAAAGTGTTTGAGTGAGAGGACTAACTGGTGTCTCCATGTTGCCACACACCTCTCCAAAGTGTGCACAGTTCCTAAGCAATTTCAATGCACTTTTATGACTCAAAGAAGTCTTCAACTATATGTTTATTTTTATTTTTTGCTGTCCTAGCTGTGACATTGAGGAACTAGAGCAAGCACACTTGTAGTTGTTTAGTTTAAAACACAACCTTGCATTCCCGCCATCACACAATTACTGTTGCTGTTTATGCAATCCCAAAACAGTCTATTATAAATCGCAATCTGGGTCAGGTGTGCCTGATTTGAAAGCTTGTTCTATTGCCAAGATGACTAGCTAAGTTATAAATTAGGCTTTCACAAGGCAATTCAGAGAAACGGATTGCAATTTTGGTGCGCATAGAAAGGAGTCATGAGTGCATTCAGGTGGTGAATATTCTTCAGAATAAACAAACATAGGCTCATTCTGTTTAGAACAACCCAGGGTATGACGCCATGTCATCTTGTAACTTTACATCAAACAAAGTGATCATAAACACTGATACTGTATATGACATGAGTTTTATGATTTGGAGATGTGAAGTGCACATTTGGACTCCCAGTGTTTGACTTGCTTGTATGACAGCAAAGCAGTATTTATTATAATAATCCTCAACGTCTCATCTTTCAAAATACATAGAGTCCTCTTAACTTACAGCATTTCCCTCACTCAGACAACAAAAAAAATGGCTAAAGTTGCCGAAGTACCGGGAGGGATGGGGGTAACTTCTTGTTGCGCGCGGTGCTGAAGTTCAGAACAGCTGTCAGTCAAAACCCATACAGCGCTGTGAAGCGCAGAGCCTGAGCTCTGATATCATGTATAGCATGTTACTGTACAGCCACTATGTTCCAATGTAGGTACTTATCAGTGCCCAAATCTGCCATTTTCAACCTGTATACGGGTACAGGTTTATAGGGCTACCGGCTCAAAACTATTATCGGATATCAAGATATATTTCAAGTAGCATATCGTAGAAGAGGTCTCCCCAAATATTGCCCAACCCTAGTGTGGTCCCATGCTAATATTATATGCCTTAACATGAATCTATCCTGTTGTAAATGTGTATAGTTGAGGTAGTCCCCACCATATCTTTCATGCCAAACTGTAACTTTGTTCCTCTCCGGTTGTACATGTACAGTATCTACAGTCGTGGTCAAAAGTTTTCAGAATGACACAAGTATTGGTCTTCACAAAGTTTGCTGCTTCAGTGTTATGAGATTTTTGTCAGATGTTACTACGGTATACTGAAGTATAATTACAAGCATTCCATAAGTGTCAAAGGTTTTTATTGACAATTACATTAAGTTTATGCAAAGAGTCAATATTTGCAGTGTTGATCCTTCTTTTTCAAGACCTCTGCAATCCGCCCTGGCATGCTGTCAATTAACTTCTGGGCCACATCCTGACTGATGGCAGCCCATTCTTGCATAATCAATGCTTGGAGTTTGTCCGAATTTGTGGGTTTTTGTTTGTCCACCCGGCTCTTGAGGATTGACCACAAGTTCCCAATGGGATTAAGGTCTGGGGAGTTTCCTGGCCATGGACCCAAAATGTTGATGTTTTGTTCCCCGAGCCACTTAGTTATCACTTTTGCCTTATGGCAAGGTACTCCATCATGCTGGAAAGGCATTGGTCATCACCTAGCTGTTCTTGGATGGTTGGGAGAAGTTGCTCTCGGAGGATGTGTTAGTACCATTCTTTATTCATGGATGTGTTCTTAGGCAAAATTGTGAGTGAGCCCACTCCCTTGGCTGAGAAGCAACCCCACACATGAATGGTCTCAGGATGCTTTACTGTTGGCATGACACAGGACTGATGGTAGCGCTCACCTTGTCTTCTCCGGACAAGGTGTTTTCCGGATGCCCCAAACAATCGGAAAGGGGATTCATCAGAGAAAATGACTTTACCCCAGTCCTCAGCAGTCCAATCCCTGTACCTTTTGCAGAATATCAGTCTGTCCCTGATGTTTTTCCTGGAGAGAAGTGGCTTCTTTGCTGCCCTTCTTGACACCAGGCCATCCTCCAAAAGTCTTCGCCTCACTGTGCGTGCAGATGCACTCACACCTGCCTGCTGCCATTCCTGAGCAAGCTCTGCACTGGTGGTGCCCTGATCCCGCAGCTGAATCAACTTTAGGAGACGGTCCTGGCGCTTGCTGGATTTTCTTGGGCGCCCTGACGCCTTCTTCACAACAATTGAACCTCTCTCCTTGAAGTTCTTGATGATCCGATAAATGGTTGATTTAGGTGCAATCTTACTAGCAGCAATATCCTTGCCTGTGAAGCCCTTTTTGTGCAAAGCAATGATGACAGCACGTGTTTCCTTGCAGGTAACCATGGTTAACAGAGGAAGAACAATAATTTCAAGCACCACCCTCCTTTTAAAGCTTCCAGTCTGTTATTCTAACTCAATCAGCATGACAGAGTGATCTCCAGCCTTGTCCTCGTCAACACTCTCACCTGTGTTAACGAGAGAATCACTGACATGATGGCAGAGTTTAAATGCAGTGGAAATGTTTTTTGGGGATTAAGTTCATTTTCATGGCTAAGAGGGACTTTGCAATTAATTGCAATTCATCTGATCACTCTTCATGACATTCTGGAGTATATGCAAATTGCCATCATCAAAACTGAGGCAGTAGACTTTGTGAAAATTAGTATTTGTGTCATTCTCAAAACTTTTGACCACGAGTACCAGTCCAAAGTTTGGAGACACCTACTCATTCCAGGGTTTTTCTTTATTTTTACTATTTTCTACATTGTAGAATAATACTGAAGACATCAAAACAATGAAATAACACATGGACTCATGTAGTAACTAAATAAGTGTTAAACAAATCTAAATATATTTTATATATTCCTCAAAGTAGCCACCCTTTGCCTTGATGACAGCATTACACACTCTTGGCATTCTCTCAACCAGCTTCATGAGGTAGTCACCTGGAATGCATTTAAATTAACAGGTGTGCCTTGTTAATTTGTGAAATGTATTTCCTTCTTAATGCGTTTGAGCCAATCAGTTTTGTTGTGACAAGGTAGGAGTGGTAAACAGAAGATAGCCCTATTTGGTAAAAGACCAAGTCCATATTATGGTAAGAACAGCTCAAATAAGCAAAGAGAAACGACAGTCAGTCATTACTTTAAGACATGAAGGTCAGTCAATACAGAACATTTCAAGAACTTATGAGGAAGTTTCTTCAAGTGTAGTCGCAAAAACCATCAAGCGCTATGATGAAACTGGCTCTCATGAGGGCCGCCACAGGGAAAGGAAGACCCAGAGTTACCTCTGCTGCAGAGGATAAGTTCATTAGAGTTAACTGCACCTCAGATTGCAGCCCAAATAAATGCTTCACAGAGTTCAAGTAACAGACACATCTCAACATCAACTGTTCAGAGGAGACTGCGTGAATCAGGCCTTCATGGTCGAATTGCTGCAAAGAAACCACTACTAAAGGACACCAATAAGAAGAAGAGACTTGCTTGGGCCAAGAAAAACATGAGCAATGGACATTAGACCGGTGGAAATCTGTCCTTTGGTCTGATGTGTCCAAATTTGAGATATTCGGTTCCAACCGCCATGTCTTTGTGAGACGAGGTGTGGATGAACGGATGATCTTCGCATGTGTGGTTCCCACCGTGAAGCATGGAGGAGGAGGTGTGATAGTGTGGGGGTGCTTTACTGGTGACACTCTGTGATTTATTTAGAATTCAAGGCACACTTAACAAGCATGGCTACCACAGTGTTCTGCAGTGAAACGCCATCCCATCTGGTTTGCACTTAGTGGGACTATCATTTGTTTTTCAACAGGACAATGACCCAACACACCTCCAGGCTGTTTAAGGTCTATTTGACCAAGAAGGAGAGTGATGGAGTGCTGCATCAGATGACCTGGCCTCCACAATCACCTGACCTCAACCCAATTGAGATGGTTTGGGATGAGTTGGACCGCAAAGTAAAGGAAAAGCAGCCAACAAGTGCTCAGCATATGTGGGAACTTCAAGACTGTTGGAAAAGCATTCCCGGTGAAGCTGGTTGAGAGAATGCCAAGAGTGTGCAAAGCTGTCATCAAGGCAAAGGGTGGCTACTTTGAAGAATCTCAAATATAAAATATATTTAGATTTGTTTAACACTTTTTTGGTTACTACATGATTCCATATGTGTTATTTCATAGTTTTGATGTCTTCACTATTATTCTACAATGTAGAAATAGTACAAATAAAGAAAAACCCTTGAATGAGTAGGTGTGTCCAAACTTTTGACTGGTACTGTATATGTGAGGGAGGCAGCCCTGTTATTCGATGCCAAATTGTAACATAACATATCCCTGTCCTTTTCTGCTGTATAGGTGAGGGAGGCAGCTCAGTTTCTGGACCCGGGCCTGTTGGCCATGGCCTGTGGTTCGTACCGGCGGGGGAAGGCTACGTGTGGAGATGTTGACGTCCTCATCTCTCACCCAGACGGGAAGTCCCACCGGGGTGTCTTTAGCAAAGTGTTACAGATCCTCCACCAGAGCGGTAGGAGGACACGTCCAAATACAGGACATTTGATTAATTAACTGTCGTGGATTCCCAACCAATTATAGCACATGAATAGTTTTTTTCTCTCTGGTGTTAACAATTCATCTTCTTTCACAATGATATTATTCATAATTTATTTGACATCTAAAGTATTTAATAGTGGGATAAGCTGAGAGCTGGTTCATAATTCACTAGGCATGATCGTTTGTGTTGCAAAAAGTTTTGCTACGGTGTGCCCTAATGAATATGACCCGGTTCTTGTTCTTTTTGTTCTTTTTTATTCAGGCTTCCTGACAGACGACCTAGTGAGCCAAGAGGAGAGCGGCGAGCAGAAGAAGTACATGGGTGTGTGTCATCTGCCAGGACCTGGCCGGCGACACCGCCGCCTCGACATCATCGTGGTGCCCTACGGCGAGTTTGCCTGCTCCCTCATGTACTTCACCGGCTCGGCACACTTCAACCGCTCTATGAGGGCATTGGCCAAGACCAAACGCATGAGCCTATCAGAGCACTCGTTGAACAGCGATGTGTTGAGACAAGGAAGTTTGAAGGTGTATGGGGGGACACCACTACCCACACTCACTGAGAAGGATGTCTTCACCCATCTGGGAATACCTTTCAGGGAACCTCAGGAAAGAGACTGGTGACTGGTGATGTTGATGTTTTTAATACTGGTGGTATGAGTCGATGCATAGGTTATATATTTCTATATTTTTACAGAAAAATTATGATGGTGATAGTGGTGAAGTGAAGATCATGCTTATGTATGCAGATTTCAGACAGTGTCATATCAACATGTCAACTGTGATTTTAGACTTTGTCTTGAATTGTATGATAATCTCATTTTACAGAAAGGAAAACACTTAAGATGCATAGTGGCTGCTTGGTATGTTTTTATGAAGATAAATAATGATGATTACAGAAATATTAAACACTACTTTTAACAATCACTTAGGTAGTCCTTATTTTTACAACTATTTGTTTCCAAAGTAGTAGGTATGTTGTTTGTTATTGGTTTATTACTATGAGAATTGAACATGAAACCTTATTTTTCATTAACGCTTGTCCTCGCACTAGAGGTGCTCTCAAATATGATTGGCTGAGGTTAGAGCCAGCTGGCTTTTTTTGCTTCACCATAGGTCAGCCTGCAAAGTGAGTGGTGGTGAGCAACGCAACTCAATACCCATCACGTTGCGCACATGGAACAAAAGATGTGAGCGATCACGCCACAGCCAGCCCGAGCCACCATTCGAAGGAACCAATGAGCGGATTCGATTATGCTGAGTTGCGGGGCACCGGTCTATGGCCCGTGACATTAACGGGCAAAAGTGGTGAGGGAGGAGCGCCATTCACAAATCCAACAGTAATCTGTACCACTCGATCATGTAGTTGACAAGGCAGCATTGTGCATCGTCCAGAAACATTAATCTCTTTTCCATAAAATACTGTATGTTTGAATTTTCAAACTAGTTTTCATTGGGATGGCAGATAAAGCGTTTTTAGCAAAAGCAATCACTTTTGCATGTGAAAACACAGAATCCTACTCATTACTCCACATGCTTAATTACGTCACTTTTGTTTTGAGCTGACTTTGCCATGGGCTTTGAACTGGGCACCTGGCTGACGCCCGGGAGACAGCCCAGTTTCAAAACGAATGCAATCAACTTTACTGTTCATTTGAGAAGGCTGCTGCTCCCTCCCCGCTTTCGTCTCAAATATATGTAAACAGACCATAAATGTCTGATAATTTTTTATTGGAAAGCTGTGAGTGCTATTATATTATGCAATATTAATACTTGTTGCATTTACAACTTATCTAAGTCCTATCAACTGATTTGACCCAGAGTATGGCTGTGGATTTACTGCATTGTTTAAATGGAACGTTGGCATATTGGCAGTTAATTTGCAAAATTTATGTTATCATTCCACTAAAACTGTCTGGCTAACACACATACAGTGCAGATAAATTCTTCACATCCATTGTTTTACACTATCTTATCACAGCACTGGCAAACCAAACAATGGTTGAACAACTCCCTGACCAACATGGCTGACCTTTGGCCCGTCATAAGAAGGTTCAAACCATTCTTATTGTAATTATATGGCCGGTGTACCCCAGGCCAGATTAATCGAATTCGCCCAATGTTGTGCCTCCTTGCAATATCAAATTACGCAGTTGCAAGGAGGCAGCGCATGCGTGGTCTTTCAGCGCGTCCGGAGAGCCGTAAACTAGTTTGACATTTCGCTACGATTTGTGAAGTGAACAACAAACTTCTACTCTTATGTTTTTACACGAGTCCGGTCGGAGGAATGAACGAGATTTTAGGTGCGGGTCTTAAAATGGGATTGTTTTTGCAGGTTGTCGCTGTCAGCCCCTCCGACGCGACATTAGACGAGGTAAGATTTGGGCTCAAGTGTGCCAGGATTTGGTTTTGGTTCGGGTCATGCATGTTGTTTATTTAGGTAGCTAGCAAAGTAGCATATACGGTTAGCTACTTTGTTAGCTAGCTAGCTATTAACTTGGCCGGCTGTTTTCCTACAAGTTTGCTGGCTAGCTAGACTCGGTTGGGTATTAGCTGATGATGTTTTCGTTTAGTTAGCTAGTTAACGTCTGAAAAGTTCGACCGCTGTAGCTAGCTTTAGCTATCTTGCTAGCGAGCTAGTTGTTTAGTCAGCTATTTAGTTGGCATAATAGGCACTTAGCTAACTTGCTAGCGTTGGCGGAAATCGACAATCTATTTGCTGCTTTAGTAACTAACGTTAGCTACATGGCTACTGTTAGTCACTAACGTTAATAACGTTAGTTAACAAACTTTTCTAGCCGCACCCAATGACAGCTGTCTAATTAAATGGTTGACAGTTATCAAATATCTCGCCACGTACTAGCACAGCATTATCATCGTACTAGCCAACAAGTCAGTAGATGTCTTATTCAAAACATTGATTAGTTTGTTTTGTTGTATATCTGCATTGAAACTGAAACTGCATTTGTAAGTGCTGTCTATAAACGGGTTGGCTGACGTCACTAAAATGATGCGAGTGCATCGATGTGGCCGGACTCTGCGTTATGATTCAAGAACAGTCAGCTAGCTAGCAAGAATGAGGGGATTCGGTTTTGCATCATGTGAAAGTTGATTGTATTAGTTTTGGAACCGGACTGGCTCCCGGGAATGAGCCAGGTGCCCCATTCAAAGCCCGCTGTGAAGTCGGCTCAAAACAAAAGTGATGTAATTAAGCGCGTGAGTAGGATTGTGTTTTAACATGTAAAAGAGATCGCTTTTGATAAAAGCTTTATCTGCCTTTCCAATGAAAACTAGTTTGAAAATTCAAACAGATATTTTCAGGAAAATATATGTTGTATGTTTCTGGACGATGTACCATGCTGCCTTGTTTACAACATGCCCGAGCGGCGCAGATTACTGTTCGATTTGAGATGGAGCTCCTCCCTCAACGTTTATCCGTTCACGTCACCGGCCATAGACCGGTGCCCCGCGGCTCAGCATAATCGAATCCAACCAATCACAAGAAGCTGCCATGTGAGTGAGGAATCATATTTGTCTCGTTTCAGCTAGTTTTATCTTGTTCTTTATACCGTGTCTTGTGTTGAGGTGTTTTGACTGATTTCATGTCAATGGTAAATGTAAAAAAAAAAAAAATAGCTAGCTAGCTAACCAACAACTGTAACGATATGTTTGAGAGACAACAAGTGCTCATTGTGCAAATGCATTTTTTTACAATAAACATTGAGACAAAATATAGTTTACATGTTGTCAACAATCTAAGCCAACCCCGTCTGTTTTGCCCCATAGTTGCGCACGCGTCGGTTTTGTCGCTAAACAATCAACCTGTCTATACTGTCATTCACTTTGTTATAAAGAATACACGGAAGTTGTTGACTGGGAGGGGGGACGAGGTCAAATCATGACGTCAGTGAGCTTCAGGTCGGAAAGGCGGAGTTCTAGAAAGATGCGGAGTTGAATGATCGTTCAAAACTATTTTTCCCAGTCGGATCTCGTTTTGTTTTAGTTCCCAGTTGTCTTGAACACACTGAAGTTGGAAATGTTTGAGTTCCCAGTTGTTTTGAACCTGCCATAAATTCATTCCATGTCATGACACACAAAGTGCCCCCTCATACAAGAGCATTGTATGTATTTTGTTATCATTAGATAATGACAGATATCCCTGCAAAAGGTTCAGATAACTATTACTACAAGTAAAGTTATTGAAGTTATGCAAATAAATTGCATACTATATCAATCACAGTCCTCCTTTTGGGACATTCTCACAACTGACATTTGACCCAAAAAATATTCAATATTCATGTTTTTTTCTTCAATATTCATATAATGTGAGAATTGGTATTGAAATTAAAATACCACTCATATTACAGAGCAGGCAGTAAAGCTTTATGACACCAATTTTTCCTTTGTAGTACAGATTAAACATTATGGAGTCTTAAAGAAGGCCTGGGTAATGCCAAAATGTCACAAATGTTCCAACTTCAATTAATTATTTCTCAATTATGCTTTAAGATACAAATGTCAAATATACACTGAGGTTACAAAATATAACACCTTCCTAATATTGAGTTACGTACCCCACCTCCTTTGCGCTCAGAACAGCCTCAGTTCGTTGGGGCATGGAATCTACAACGTGTCAAGCGTTCCACAGGGATGCTGGCCCATGTTGACAGCAAATCCTTCCAACAGTTGTCAAGTTGTCTGGATGGCCTTCTTTATACACACAGGAAACTGTTGAGTGAGAAAAACCCAGCAGCGTTGCAGTTCTTGACACAAACCGGTGCGCCTGGCATCTACTACCATACCCTGTTCAAGGGCACTTAAATATTTTGTCTTGCCCATTCACCCTCTGAATGTCACACATACACAATCCATGTCTCAATTGTGTCAAGGCTTAAACATCCTTTAACCCGTCTCCTCCCCTTCATCTACACTGATTTGAAGTTGATTTAACAAGTGACATCAATAAGGGATCATAGCTTTCAGCTGGATTCACCTGGTCAGTCAGTCGTGGAAAGTGTTCTTAATGTTTTGTGTACACATCTATGTCAACAATCCTTTCTCTAAAGGACCCTTCTATGCATAACATTTTGTGAAAATCAAAATCATGGTCCTGTTTTGTGAGTTATCACCCACAAGTCTAAAGTTAATTTGACAATGTTTTTCTTTATTTCTAGGAAAGGGGCTCGTCTGCAAAGTTTTGTGTTGTTTGCATCTACAGCCCCTCACAGATATCTGAACTATCTCCCCATTTGCTGCTACATCATTGAGACTTAGTTTCATTTTGGATCTAGCATCTTGCCTTAGTTCCAGGTGACTGAATATGGTCACCAGTTGCTGAGTGGAGGAGCCAAGGTTAATCCCAGTGTCTTGTTTAACCTGTGGATATGTCAATAAGTTCTGTTTGAGAGAAATATTGAGTGACACAATACATTGATTGCATTGTCCTACTTGGTTTTGGCCTAAACCTACATCAGTCACCCTAATTGTTCAACCCCCCCCCCAAAATGTGTAGGCCTTGGCTAACTGACCAGATATCAAACCCAGGTTGTCCGTGCATTGCATTTCAAGACTGCATTAGCCCTCTGTGCTACAGCTTAGATGTGTAGCCTAATATCTGTCTGCAAAGACAAGACTTCAGATCTCTTGCAAGGTGGTTACTCTTCAAGTGGGAGTATTGTTGGCGTACCATCAACCACAAATGGGCTAGTTCCCAGAGCATGTCCTCTTTTCTCTTTGAGAACTAGTGCTGAATGTGTGTGGTGGTCAAGAATGTTATTTTTGTTGTCTCCCCTGTTTTGTTCAGCATTGACTGTCCAACCTTGAACTTCTGCAGAACATATCTCTTCTAGAGCGCTGTTGCTGTACATTCTTCTTGCCAGTCAGCACTGTGTCAGTATTGAATCTGCAAAATAGGATGATCTATACTATAGGCCAGGGCTGCCCAACCCTCTTCCTGGAGAGCTACCGTCCTGTGGGTTTTCAGTCCAACCCTAATTTAACACACCTGATTCTACTTATTAGCTGCTCAACAAGACCTTAACTAGTTGAATCAGATACGCTAAATTAGGGTTGGACTGAACCTACAGGACAGTATGGAAAATGTATGCACTCACTAACTGTAAGTCGCTCTGGATAAGAGCGTCTGCTAAATGACTAAAATGTAAAATGTAGATCTCCAGGAAGAGGGTTGGGCAGCCCTGCTATTGGCTATATGTGTGCAGCGCGTGTGTGGTAAATAATCAACATAACGAACGAACAGCTTCGGGAATTCATCTATTTTTTTAATCAATTATATAGCCTAGATTAAAAATAGCATTATTCTTTTTTTTATCACTGGCCCAAGCAGGCCACTGATGAGGGTTTCCTAAACCTCCTCTGTATGTCGAGCCCTGACACACACACAGACTGGGGCATTCCCGTGCCGTTGTTGCCTCTTCAAATAGTTACTTTATTTTCAGTCAATTGCACATTACTGTTGGAATAAATCATGATGATTAAAAAAATAGTGAACCTAATACTAACGTTACCGGGTTTTTAAAAAATCACCAGTTGTTTTGGTCGCAGTATCGAACCCTGTATGCAATTTGTGAGAGTGCAAAAGATTGCTTTGCTGGTTGATACTTCTTTGCCTGTCATGTAGTTTACAAGAGCAATCCATGATTCTATTGCAGGCCTAAGAAAGAGACAGTTGGAGTTTATTTTTCATTCAAGACATTTTGTAGTTCTTAGCGATGGGCCTACTAAGAATTTGAAACTAACATGCTTCTTTGCATGAAAAAGTAGAGATCCTCCATAAATAATTTAGCTTAGACACTAGTATACAGCATCAATGGTCTGTCAGTATGGCATTCTTTGTGCATCTTCATGCCAGATCCAATGCTATATCATATGAACGCGGTCAAGAATCCGCTTAGCCACTTTTTAGCAGCTGTCCAAGAGAAAACATTTTCTGATAGTCAAGCAGTGACACCGGACTGTTCTTGTATGTCTGGTCGTTTCAGCAGCTTCTCATTATGGTCGATTTACGTTTTAATTAATCTCTAATATGCCTGTGGGTTCTGGCTCAGTTAGTAACACAATCCACCCGTCCATAATCTTCTACTGGAGTACGAGAAGGGACGGTTGTTCCATTCAGCGGCAGCCTGTTGTTGAAGGCCGTGAGACTGAGGAATCTTGTCTGTCGACATTCTTTGTTGGGTCAATGTCTCAATGTCTTGTCTGATATGTCTCCTAGGCGATGGAAAATTCAGACGGCAAAAAAAACGTAACTCTTCATCTCTTAACCTAGGCTTTTTCATCTCTTAAGCTAGGCTTTTTCATCTCTTAACCTAGGCTTTTTCATCTCTTAACTATTAACTATTTTAATCTCTTAAACTAGGCTTTTTAATCTCTTAAACTAGGCTTTTTCATCTCTTAAGCTAGGCTTTTTCATCTCTTAAGCTAGGCTTTTTCATCTCTTAAGCTTTTTCATCTCTTAAGCTTTTTCATCTCTGAATAGTATTCTTACATGGATTTGGCTTTAGTTTGTTTTGTTTCTAGGCCTAGCCTATCATGCTAACTGGACTGGATACAACATCCTAGCACAAGTACAACAACAAGTAACCCTAGGCCTAAGGGTTATATCTTTGCACTCGACAACAGCCCCAAGGCTGGGAGCCAGGGAGTTCTTGATCTCCTCTAAAGCCAAAGATCTCTGACCCTAGACTATTGTGTAATCTCCTAAATGCAAGTTATTTCAGAACTGAAAATGTCCAAACCAAACAGTAGCCTAGTTTCTCTGCAGTTTTCAGCTTTAACCCATTCTCTAGTGATACGCTTATTCCATGTCATACAATGTAGTTGTATGGTGTAAACAATTTGTGGGCGGTTGTTAAAAAGATACACACTGCAGAAATGCTCCAGGCTTGTCTAGTGGAAGCGCATAGGCTAGTGTGTGAAGTTGATCTGTGGCTGGGTTTCACAATTCCTATGTTACTAACTGGCCTCCCTCGGACACACACACTCCACCTGCCGTTTTGAATACAGAGGGAGCTCCACTTCATTGCCATGCAGTCCTCTACTCTGGCTGGCAGCTCACACCCCACTGCTGCTTGGACATTTCTGTAGAGCAATCCTTGTCCCCTATTTTGCTTGGTGTGTGTGTGTGTGTGTGTGTGTGTGTCTGTGTGTGCTCTTTTTTTCCATCTGTGGACTGGAAGGATAATGACCCTTGAGTTGAAAGGACTTGCGTTCCTTGGGATTTTGGGATTTTGGACCGCTATGCCTCTCCAGCTGGAAAGGAAACTGGTAATCTATAGAAAACCTTGGCTAACCTTGCTCCTCAGGATTGAATCCATAATCTAATCTTGAAGAGAATGTGTAGCCTGGTAGGGGGTTGCCTGCTAAATCAATATATCATCTGAAGCAGTTTTTGATTAGACTTTCTTGGCTCTCTTCCTTGTCTGGTTATCAATGGCTATTCCTGCTGTCCCCATGGAAAGTAGAAACGGATTGGTTTAATGATAACATCTGTATTGACAATGATTAAGTGTGTCTTTGATCTATCAGGTTAAAAGCTTTGGATGTACGCTGACAGGCTAGTTGTTTGACTGGAGACACTTTTTAGGCCATCATCTGCGCGAACAGAAGCAGCTTGTGTCTGTACATTGTGTTTCTCTTGACTAGGCTAACTTGGTGCGTTTGTTCCAGGGTGGGCCATGTCTGTCTGTTCACTCTGTTGTATTGAATGTGGTATTTTGTACTGCCTCTATAACCTGCTAAGGTTACTAGGGTCCCCAGTCTACAGCTTGTGGAGCATGCCCAGGTGATCCGCATTATAATCCAAGTAATGAATGATAAGTGATGAGGAAATCTGAGCCGTGGACATTCTAGCAGCTTAGCACCCCTGTATAAGAGGATGATTGAGTAGTTTAATACTATCATTTATGTCTGGACCTAGTTCTTCCAGACCCTATAGGCTACATTGAACACTAGTAATCAGTTATTGATCCGTTTTTTTATTGACTTATTTCATTTTTTTGTTTTACTCAGGTCAGGTACAGTATCTGTTAGTGCTGATAAAGTGACCTAGGCTGTCCACTGTCTGTACGTCTTGATATAGCCTATAGGCTATACTAACTAGTTTTTAATCAGTTATTTGATTAATATATTTTATATTTGTTATTCAGGTCCCATACAGTTACAGGATCTGTAAGAATGTAGGACTCAAGTGACCTAGGCCTAATCCCCTGAGTCATTTCTGCAAAGATAAACATTTGTAGAATATTGACGTGGAATAGCTAAACTGCTGTATGATGTGATGTTGTGATCTTATAGTTGATGCGTCAGTCAATGTTCCATAATACTATCATGAGTTAAAGGTGCTACATATAGAATTTATTTATATTTTTGCATTGTAATTTCAGAAAATGTCCATAATATATCTGCAGTAATAGTGGAATGATAGTGTTTCACAGTATTACTTACCCGCCAGTGTTGTGATTGGCTGTGATATTCGCCCATTGATTTCTCCCGCGGAGTGACATCTGTTGTCAAAATGGGAAAGCTGTTTTGACTTTGTGACTGTGTTGGAGTCAGTGGAAATGGAGTCAAGTGGCCAATGTAGAAATCACTCATTTCCTGGTTGCTAAAATTCTACACTGTTCACTCAATTTCAGTTTGTGAGAAAACAAGCACGGAAAAGTGTAGGGAATCATTGTACCATTTTAAATCGCTGTGAAATATAATTTCAACAACAAAATATATACACTGAACAAAAATATAAACACAACATGTGAAGTGTTGGTCCCATGTTTCGTGAGCTGAAATAAAATATCCCAGAAATGTTCCATACGCAAAAAAGCTTATTTCTCTAGCATTTTGTGCACAAATTTGTTTACATCCCTGTTAGTGAGCATTTCTCCTTTGACAAGATAATCCATCCACCTGACAGGTGTGGCATATCAAGAAGCTGATTTAAACAGCGTGATCATTACACAGGTGCACCTTGTGCTGGGGACAATAAAAGGCCACTCTAAAATATGCAGTTTTGTCACACAACACAATGCCACAGATGTCCAACTGGCCTCACAACCGCAGACCACGTGTATAGAGTCGTGTGGGTTCCCCATGGTGGCGGTGGGGTTATGGTATGGGCAGGCATAAGCTACGGACAGCGAACACAATTGCATTTTATCGATGGCAATTTAAATGAAACCGTGACGGGATCCTGAGGCCCATTGTCGTGCCATTCATCTGCTGCCATCACCTCATGTTTCAGCATGATAATACACGGCCCCATGTCGCAAGGATCTGTACACAATTCCTGGAAGCTAAAAATGTTCCAGTTCTTTCATGGTCTGCATACTCACCAGACATGTCACCCATTGAGCATGTTTGGGATGCTCTGGATAGACGTGTACGACAGCTTGTTCCAGTTCCCGCCAATATGCAGCAACTTCGCACAGCTATTGAAGAGGAGTTGGACAACATTCCACAGGCCGCAATCAACAGCCTGATCAACTCTATGCGAAGGAGATGTCGCACTGCATGAGGCAAATGGTGGTCACACACAGCAGACACTGACTGGTTTTCTGATCCAGTCCCAACCTTTTTTTAAAGGTATCTGTGACCAACAGATGCATATCTGTATTCCCAGTCATGTGAAATCCATAGATTAGGGCCTAATGAATTTATTTTAATTGACTGATTTCCTTATATGAACTGTAACTCAGTAAAATCTGTGACATTTTTGCATGTTGCGTTTTATATAGTTGTTCAGTATAGTTTTTCCAGCTGTTTGAAGCTGGTGGACCAAAACCGAAAGTAAAAGGCTCAAGCGCTAGTCTCCGCCATGTTACAGGGAAATGGGATGAGGGGGAGATTTTATTTTGCTTCCACAGCCTAGTGCCGTAGCAATACACCTAGCTTCCACAGCCTAGTGCCATAGCAATACACCTAGCTTCCACAGCCTAGTGCCGTAGCAATACACCTAGCTTCCACAGCCTAGTGCCGTAGCAATACACCTAGCTTCCACAGCCTAGTGCCGTAGCAATACACCTAGCTTCCACAGCCTAGTGCCGTAGCAATACACCTAGCTTCCACAGCCTAGTGCCGTAGCAATACACCTAGCTTCCACAGCCTAGTGCCGTAGCAATACACCTAGCTTCCACAGCCTAGTGCAAGTAGCAATACACCTAGCTTCCACAGCCTAGTGCCGTAGCAATACACCAAGCTTCCACACGGGGGAGAAATTCTAGGAGTAGCACCTTTAATGAGATGATGAGGAGCAAAAAATGAAAAGGTCAATATTTGAGCAGGTGTGCTGTGAGCGGCGGATGCTGGGTCATATTCACTAGGCACCGAACGGAAGAAAACAGACTGAAACAGCGAGAGACTACCTGGGCTTGTCCGATAAGAAACGCTAATTTCCGTTGTCCGTCGCAAAGGTTTCGCTACGTTGTGACTCAATGAACAAAACCCAGGTGGTGGATATACTGTTTTACACTCCTGTTATTGACTTGTCTCTTCTCTTGTGTTGTCTTCCAGAGCCTACTGCACTGTGAGGGGCTGAACAACCAGAGCTACGTCTGTGAGTCAGGACACTGCTGTGGGGAGACACAGTGCTGCAGTTACTACTATGAGCTCTGGTGTAAGGACTCTCTCTCTCTACACTATCGCACACACAAGCTCTCTCACTTGCTCTCTACCTCTCACTTTCACTCTCCCGCTCTCAAACACATTTACATTTGACATTTGAGTCATTTAGCAGACACTCTTATCCAGAGCGACTTAGTTGGTGCACACACGTACACGTGAACATGCATGTTCTGAACATACAGTACATGTTCTGAACATACAGTACATGTTCTGAACATACAGTACATGTTCTGAACACACACACAGCATTTATTTTTTCTAGACAGGTCAGTTCTAACATTCCTTTGAAGCTTATTTACTGTACTAGGACAGGACCGCCCTCATCCGCCTCGTCTCCCTGTCCCAGGAGATAGGTCCTCTGCATATCTCTGTGTTGTTGTTGATGAATGAGCTACAACATGAACTGTGAACTCCGATTGGGGTGTAGAATACCAATTGACACCGTGGTACACTGTTGGTACCAAACGTTCCAAAGCAGTTACATTCTTGCTATGGAACAACCTGGAGGGTAGTTGGCCAATATCTATGGCTCTACCTCCACGTTGTTACTTTGTAGTGGTGCAGTATATCTCTCTGTTGCATTCACTACCACTTTGTCACTACTGGCATTAGCTGTAAAGGCACTTCGATTTTTACTGTTGTTTTTCAGTCTTGTAACTGTATCTGTCTCACTGTGTAGTTATGTACTGTAGCTCTCTGTTGCTTTCAATAACAATTTGTCACTCCTTCCATTCAGCAGTACCTTCACAGTACATTTAGCAGTACATTTACAGTAGTCTCACCATAGAGATACGAATAACACGTATTAACATGTGTCTATGTTTCACAGTCTTTCTACTGTGTCTCTGTCTCCGGCAGGGTTCTGGCTGGTGTGGGTCATCATCTTCATCCTGAGCTGCTGCTGCGTGTGTCACCACCGGCGCACCAAGCACCGGCTGCAGCAGCAGCAGCGCCAGCACGAGATCAACCTCATCGCCTACCGCGAGGCGCACAACTACACCTCTGTTCCATTCTACTTCAGTAAGAGTTCCATCATTGATGTCGTTACCGTCATATTGCATTATTGTGTCCTGCCCATATTAACCATGGCATGGTGTGATGGTGCATAAGAGGAGCCGCAGATATGCACAGCATCAGACTGGTAGTGGTCAACAACATGGCATTATTGCGCAATGCCCTTCTATTTCAGTCCCATCGTTGCCGTGGCGCAATAAAACATGAGAGCACTACAGCTTCACATATACTCGACTTCAGTCTCAGAGTAGTTCTCTCCTTCGGCCTTTCTGTCTGACTACATTGCATTGTTATTCCCCAGTGCAGAAGTTTACTCAAACATTGCACCTTGGATACATTTTTGTGGTTATTCCTCTTAGCTAGGGCGGATATTTCTCAATTGCAATTGTTGCATCAAACTGAGAGGTTTGTCACTGCCTGGCAGTGCTACCTTGACTCAACTCCAGTCCTTTGTTTGAACTAGGAGTCGCGGTTTCATTTTAGTGTCAGACGACGCTCAGCCCTGTTTCATGCCCCAGATTACAGGAAACCTTTACCGCCAGGTCTTGGTTCTATGCCAACATTGCAACATGTTTTCCTTGTAATCATTTTCAGTTCATCCTAATTGTCCTTTTTGTATCCCTCTCTTCTTCACTTCCAGGGTTTCTTCCAAATTCCCTCCTACCTGACTACGAGGAGGTGGTGAACCGCCCTTCCACCCCTCCCCCTCCCTACAGTGTCTTCCATACAGTCAGCCCCCTGACCACTGACCCACAGGACGGCCTGGGACTGGGACACTGCCCGACCATCCAGACCACTCCGGTCCCCCCAGTGTCCGACACACTCTGCTCCAGGCCGAGCCTGGAAGAGCCCCACCACATTGGGGCTCCCACCATCGGCTACAACAGACACAAGGCAGACAGTAAGCCTCAGGAGCCCCAGGATGGTGGACCAGGGCTAGGTCCCCAGGAGGCCTCTACAGAGGAGCCTACAAGCCCAGAGAAGAGTTGCAAGGAGCCTCTGTTACTCGGGGACCTAGGGGGGTCCGAGAGCGGTGCCCAGGAGGACAAAGATAATAGGGGGGCCCTCGGAAGGCGGCGCCGATTCACGGGTGACTCGGGTATCGAGGTGTGCGTGTGCGACCGTGGTGGTAGTACCAGTATTGGAAGCCAGGAGGGCAAGGAGCTGAGGGAGAAGGATAGCCTACTGGGGGAGGAGGTTGAGGAGCAGGAAGAAGGGGACTTCTGCGACGGGTGCGGTCACCCTGCTCCGGGATTGGAAGAGGAGCAGGCCCTAGCCCTGGATGGACCCGAGAGTAGGTCGGAGTGCGGGTCGGCGACAGCGTCCACCTCCCCGCCACCACCCGCCATGACGCAACCCCCCCACCCCCCGGTGTGCCTGCTCCTCCACACCATCAACGAGCTTGAGGGGTCCCCTCACCATGGCAACAGCACAGAGCCCCAGGGCTGAGCTACGCTAAGCTAAAGCACATCTTCACCGAGGAGGGAGAGAGAACCAGGAGTGGGAGTCAAGACTTTAATGTGTGTGTGTGTGTGTGTGTGACTGTCTGAGATCATGTGTGTGTGACGAGTAGGAAGTTGTATTTTATCCCAGAGTCTGGACTTAAAAGCCTGATGTTAATAACTAAAGCCCCTTTGGCATACTGTAATGGTGGCCTTAACTGCAATGTACAAGGAGACAGGAGGATAGGTTGGCCTATCACCAACCTACTTACAGACTGCTAACGGCATAAATGTCCTCCTTTGTCGGTCTTTACCAAGAGGAGGTGAAAGGAGACCGTGTTAAGACTTATGCAAGCTGGAGGAGATTGATACTTTGGTCAGTGGTTGCTGACCCGATGTTTGGTGCGAATGCAGTATAGTCAAGTACACACTGGTGCAACTCTAGCCTGGTCTCAGATCAATTTGTGCTGTCTTGCCAACTCCTATGCTCAGTGTACCAAGCTAATGGAAATCATCACAGCTACTTCCTGTGTCTGTTCACAGGAAGGAACATCCTGGACAAATACACTGAAGCAGTACAGGAACATTGTTAAAGCAGTGCAGTGTGGATCGTCATGGTGATGATGTGTGCTTATGCAATTTGATAGTCCCAGTCGTTATGAAATAGAACGTTGTGGCCCTGCCTACCTGTGGGGAAAACAACCCATGGTTACTTTGGTTACCCCATTGGCACACAGCAAAAACTTGACCTTTTTCCAAAAGCACATTTATTTGTCTGTTTGTTTTAGTCAATTACAAAACTACATTTTAAGAAAAGTACAACGTGTAAAGATTACTTTTCAACATTGCCTGCTCCCGAGCATTCTCACTACTTAGAAAAACATAACGTTGTAGGGGCTTCCCCATTTTCATGACGGCGCTGATGTTAACCACATGAGTGAGTGCTAGCTAGCTAGCTAGCTACCAACCAGAACAGGACTCCAACCCTTTACCTGGAGAGCTACCCTCATGTAGGTTTTCACTCCAACCCTAGTTGTAACTAATCTGATTCAGTTTATAAACAGCTGATTTTTAGAATCAGGTGTGCTAGATTAGGGTTGGAGTGAAAACCTACAGGACGGTAGCGCTCCAGGAACAGGGTTGGAGTGAACCTACAGGACGGTAGCGCTCCAGGAACAGGGTTGGAGTGAAAACCTACAGGACGGTAGCGCTCCAGGAACAGGGTTGGAGTGAAAACCTACAGGACGGTAGCGCTCCAGGAACAGGGTTGGAGAGTCCTGAACCAGAACATTAAGTTAGCCAAGACCAACAACACAAACAAACGGACTATACAGCTACAAGTAGTGAGTGGAGTTCCAAACAGACTGTACTAAACAAGTTAAATGTCTTACCTGTGATAAAATATTTTCCACGCACGTAGCTACGTGTAGCCTACTTAGTAGCCTACAATTTCCCACTCTTCCACACCGATTAGCCTGAAGCCACAGGGCTCTTCTCGCAGGCTCCATTTCCCTACGTGGGAGCATTGCGAACCGTAGGTCAGGATTTTTGAACTAGTTACAATGTATAACTAAAAATGTACTACAAAGTTGGCTCTTTTACAGTGAGGGTCAATGGGAAAGAATGTTTGTTTTCCCCAATTTGTGAGCATTGTCAAGGGGAATTCATTCATATGACATGAATACTGACTCGGAGTGTACTGTACAGGAAGAGCCTGACACAAAACACTGCAGGTGAATGTTACTGTTTGTGTAAGACGTTAAGCTTCTAAGTGCTTTTTGAAGAGAACCATATAGCCTTATGGTTTTTTACTCTCCTACAACCCTATTGTCACAGAGACACACAAGTGCATTAACACGTTTCGTGTGACGCAATTCTTTTTCTTTTTTTGCCCATAAATATATGTAACTCTAATAATGGAGATATAGAAATGATGTAAAGAAATTAATCCAACATAAAAAAAGTTGTATCCACGAATCCAGTCTTTTTTTCTCTGATTTTTATTTTACATTGAATCAGTTACTGTTTGTTTTGTAAAGGAGGGTTTTCTAATGTGTCGTTGAGGTGAATTCTACATGGATGGATCTCTATCAAGGACGTGATTGGTTCTTCTCAGAGATATGGTATTGTGCATCTCTGAGAAACTGTCACGTTTGCAGTAGCTCGCAAAGATTGTGCATTAGTGAAACTTACAGGTCCGTAGGAGAAAACGGGTACCAAAAAAACATAGTTTAGTTACGAGAACCAAGCTATCGTAAATGCTTTATATAGCCCTATTATGCATTTTGTATAAAAAAATAGAATATTCTATAATTGTGGTACAACAAAGGTAAACTATTCTGCATTTCGAACGGATGTCTTTGTCAACTCACGTAATGAAATTGTAAAGCTTTTGATCCACTTACTGGCAAATTGTGTATTATAATATTCTACAATACATTTATGAACCAAACCAACTACTTTTACATCTCAGACCAAAATGTCAGTCTGCAATCATTAGCTTTTTAGTTATTGAGTGATTTAATTTATATTTTATTTTAATAAATAACTTACTATTGTTTTGTTGAGTAAAGAATTGTTATACTCTTGAAACATTTCAATCTCCCTAAATCAAAGGAGTGTGAAGGTGAAGATACATTTAACTCAATGCACAGATTAAATGACCTATTGAATGATGTGACAATATTGTATTGTGAATAATGGACATCATGCCAAAGATATTATTCTGTTTCCACACGGGGATGTAAGGTGGTTGTGCACATTTTCTGTCGTTCGTTCTTAAGCCATTTTATTACAGCAGCGAAATTGACACGTTCAATAAATGTAAACCAGAAATACTTTTTTTGTAATGTTGTGTTCTTTTTGTGTTCCACACATGCTGAATTGATAAATGATTGAAAGCTGCATTTTAATCAAATGGACGAGGTAAGGTGAGTTGAAAATCAGTGCTATAAGAAATAATACACTGCTCAAAAAAATAAAGGGAACACTTAAACAACACAATGTAACTCCAAGTCAATCACACTTCTGTGAAATCAAACTGTCCACTTAGGAAGCAACACTGATTGACAATACATTTCACATGCTGTCCCAGACAACAGGTGGAAATTATAGGCAATTAGCAAGACACCCCCAATAAAGGACTGGTTTTGCAGGTGGTGACCACAGACCACTTCTCAGTTCCTATGCTTCCTGGCTGATGTTTTGGTCACGTTTGAATGCTGGCGGTGCTTTCACTCTAGTGGTAGCATGAGACGGAGTCTACAACCCACACAAGTGGCTCAGGTAGTGCAGCTCATCCAGGATGGCACATCAATGCGAGCTGTGGCAAGAAGGTTTGCTGTGTCTGTCAGTGTAGTGTCCAGAGCATGGAGGCGCTACCAGGAGACAGGCCAGTACATCAGGAGACGTGGAGGAGGCCGTAGGAGGGCAACAACCCAGCAGCAGGACTGCTACCTCCACCTTTGTGCAAGGAGGAGCAGGAGGAGCACTGCCAGAGCCCTGCAAAATGACCTCCAGCAGGCCACAAATGTGCATGTGTCTGCTCAAACGGTCAGAAACGGACTCCATGAGGGTGGTATGAGGGCCCGACGTCCACAGGTGGGGGTTGAGCTTACAGCCCAACACCGTGCAGGACGTTTGGCATTTGCCAGAGAACACCAAGATTGGCAAATTCGCCACTGGCGCCCTGTGCTCTTCACAGATGAAAGCAGGTTCACACTGAGCACATGTGACAGACGTGACAGAGTCTGGAGACGCCGTGGAGAACGTTCTGCTGCCTGCAACATCCTCCAGCATGACCGGTTTGGCGGTCATGGTGTGGGGTGGCATTTCTTTGGGGGGCCGCACAGCCCTCCATGTGCTCGCCAGAGGTAGCCTGACTGCCATTAGGTACCGAGATGAGATCCTCAGACCCCTTGTGAGACTATATGCTGGTGCGGTTGGCCCTGGGTTCCTCCTAATGCAAGACAATGCTAGACCTCATGTGGCTGGAGTGTGTCAGCAGTTCCTGCAAGAGGAAGGCATTGATGCTATGGACTGGCCTGCCCGTTCCCCAGACCTGAATCCAATTGAGCACATCTGGGACATCATGTCTCGCTCCATCCACCAACGCCACGTTGCACCACAGACTGTCCAGGAGTTGGCGGATGCTTTAGTCCAGGTCTGGGAGGAGATCCCTCAGGAGACCATCCGCCACCTCATCAGGAGCATGCCCAGGCTTTGTAGGGAGGTCATACAGGCACGTGGAGGCCACACACACTACTGAGCCTCATGTTTACTTGTTTTAAGGACATTACATCAAAGTTGGATCAGCCTGTAGTGTGGTTTTCCACTTTAATTTTGAGGGTGACTCCAAATCCAGACCTCCATGGGTTGATACATTTGATTTCCATTGATAATTTTTGTGTGATTTTGTTGTCAGCACATTCAACTATGTAAAGAAAAAAGTATTTAATAAGATTATTTCATTCATTCAGATCTAGGATGTGTTATTTTAGTGTTCCCTTAATTTTTTTGAGCAGTGTATATTATCTGTAACTAATGTATAATTTCCTTCATTAAACCAGTTTTAACATTTTATTTTGAAAGAGAGACATTTAATTTGAAGGTATAGGGGGCGGTACAGAGAACCAGGAAGTAAAAAATATGTTATGACAGGTCATTGAAAATTAACATTGATTCCAAAGGTTATTTTATTAGACTTTTATTAGATTTTATTAGACTATTGGACCACGATGGCTGAATGCAAGAAAGAACACGGGTAAGCTTCCACGAGTGTCAGTTGTAGATTTTTTTGTCACTATCAATCCAGCTAGTATGTGCTACAATGTTTCAGATTGTGAAAAGTGAAATACGGAACTGTTTCCCACGACTTGGTACAATAGCGACATCGTTACAATAGCCTAGCGTTACAATATACTTGCAGGTTACTGTAACAAGGTCTTGTTAGACATGTTTGTCTTGACCAGGTTTTTTTCTGTTGTGAAAATATTGTCTTTCAATGATTTGATGCATTTTTATTGGCTGTTTATATTCCGTTAATTTAGCTATGGCTAAATGACATGTCTTACATTTTTTTAGGGAATGTGGGAAAGGCTGCTTCGTTGATTCAGTGATTCATTTGGATGTCAAGGTATCACAAAGTTAAAGTATCATTTTGTTAGTACATTTTACATATATTTGTATCCCATTACTGACTAGTAGAGTAGGTTTGTACACTGAGTGTACAAAACATTAGGATCACCTGCTCTTTCCATGACATAGACTGACCAAGTGAATCCAGGTAAAAGCTATGATCCTTTATTGCTGTCACTTGTTAAATCCACTTAAATCAGTGTAGATGAAGGGGAGGAGACAGGTTAAAGAAGGATTTTTAAGCCTTGAGACAATTGAGACATGGATGGTTTATGTGTGCCATTCAGAGGGTGAATGGGCAAGACAAAAGATTTAAGTGCCTTTGAAAGGGGTATGGTAGTAGGTGCCAAGCACACCGGTTTGAGTGTGTCAAAAACTGCAACGCTGCTGGGTTTTTCACGCTCAACAGTTTCCCGTGTATCAAGAATGGTCCACCACCCAAAGGACATCCATCCAACTTGACACAACTGTGGGAAGAATTGGAGTCAACATGGGCCAGCGTCCCTGTGGAATGGTTTCGACACCTTGTAGAGTCCATGCTCCGACGAATTGAGGCTGTTCTGAGGGCAAAAGGGGGTGCAACTCAATATTAGGAAGGTGTTCCTAATGTTTTGTACATTCCATTACGGTATGTCCAGGCAGTATGCTAATGGCTACTGATAATTGAATTAATTAAGTTGAACATTAACCTCAAATTGATGATCATGGAATGAGATGCAGCCAAGTAAAAATGTCGAAGACTTTCTAAATAAATCTTGATACAATAGGTATTTTTAACCTTCCCTCAGGACTACTATGGGAAGATCCTGAATAAGACGTCTGACCTGAAGAGTAATGCCTGCTTAGCCCCGTCTCAGCCCATCCCAGCTGTCATCCTCAAGGCTCTGAAGAATATCCATCCTGAAGTCACAGCCAAGTGGGTTCACTATTGTAACATTGTACATACAATATAATGACATCATTTTGATAACATAAGTGTTTCATAGTCATTTTCACACATTGTTATGGCATGTGTGTCTCTCTGTCGGTCTGTCTGCCTGCTTGCCTGTGGATTGTTAAGGATAAGATCGTTGAGGATAAGATTTTTGAGTCATCCATGAAAAACTGTTACACTTGATTCAATACACTCACCATGTAGTCCTTGACCTGCTGTTGTTCTGTCAGGTACTATGGGTGTGGGCTGGTGGTCCCAGAGTGTCTGGAGGGCTGCAGGCTGCTGGACCTGGGCAGTGGCAGTGGGAGAGACTGCTATATGCTCAGCCAACTGGTAGGGGAGAAGGGCCACGTCACGGGCATCGACATGACGGAGGACCAGGTACACAACGGTGTGGTGGTGACCATTCAATGAAAACGATTTTAATATCATAATGGGCAATTGCTGAACACAACACTGTTGGCGCAGTGTAACTCCCGAGTGGCGCAGTGGTCTAAGGCACTGCATCGCAGTGCTAGCTGTGCCACTAGAGATCCCGGTTCAAATCCAGGCTCTGTCGTAGCCGGCCGCGACCGGGAGACCCATGGGGCGGCGCACAATTGGCCCAGCGTCGTCCAGGGTAGGGGAGGGATGTAGCTCAGTTGTTGAGCATGGCGTTTGCAACGCCAGGGTTGTGGGTTCGATTCCCACGGGGGGCCAGTATGAAAAATAAAATAATGTATGCACTCACTAACTGTAAGTCGCTCTGGATAAGAGCGTCTGCTAAATGACTAAAATGTATGTAAATGTGTGGTGCTTGTTTATGTATGTGCGCCCCAAATCGCCCTTTTCTACTCTGTTCTTGTTTTTGAGTGCTGTATTTCGGTCCTGGGAACACATCCGTTTTTCTTTCTTTATAGCTTGAGGTGGCCAGAAAGTACGTGGACCACCACATGCAGGAGTTTGGATACGAGAAGCCCAACGTGGACTTTGTTCAGGGCTACATCGAGGCTCTAAAGGAGGCTGGACTCGAGGAGAACTCCATTGATATCATCATGTAAGATGCCATTGTTGTTTGTCTGTTTGTTTGTTTGTTTACCCTTGAAAGATTACATTTCATTTTTACAGTAATATCATAGTGATTAGTGTACGGTGAGGGTTGATTATTTGCCCCTTTGTTGTGCGACAGATCCAACTGTGTGGTGAATTTGTCCCCGGACAAGAGAAAAGTATTGAGTGATGCTTACCGCGTGCTAAAGGTACACTGTGTGCTATACTGAATCATGTAGAATTCAGGTCATTACAACCAACAACACTTCAATGCACCTTTAAAGCTTGTAAGGGAGATTCATGTCATGTTCCATTCCTTAGAAGTAAAATGCTGTCACTTACACGTGTCAGTGGAAAGTAATTAAGGAAGAAAGTCCTTGCATGGTAACATTGAAATGTGGAAGACACATTTCAGTTGAATGCGTTGTTGTACAACTGACTAGGCATCCTCCTTTCCCTTTCTTTCACTTCTTCTAAGCTAGCATACTAAAGATGTTTGTTACTTTCTCTGGTTGTCAGGATGGAGGAGAGCTGTACTTCAGTGACGTCTACAGCAGCAGCAAGCTCTCTGATGAGATCAAGAATCACAAAGTCCTGTGGGGTACGTACGTCTACTAACCAGCTTCTGTATTACATTTCACACTGCTTTAGACTAGTTCTAGCTACTATTTCTATTTGTAGTACCATCAACTGTTAATAACCTAGGTACACTGTAGATGTTAATTATCTCGTTAGGTGAGTGTTTAGGCGGAGCGCTTTGGTGGGAGGACCTAGTGCGATTGGCTCAGGAGGTGGGATTCAGCCCCCCGCGATTGGTCACGGCCAATGTCATCACCGTGGACAACAAGGAACTGGAGGCCATCCTAGGTGAGATGTGTTGACTGACAGACTGGTCTTAATTAATCATGAGACTGAAATGTTTCTATCAGCTCTAACCATTGTTATAACATACTGGGTTTATAGCATTGATACATGGGACCCCACATTTTTAAGATTTACTATTCAAAACGTTATTTCTTCTGGAAATACAGGTGACTACAAGTTTGTTTCTGCCACCTACCGTCTCTTCAAGATCCCCAAAATCTCATACAAAGGCTCTCTGGTCATATACAATGGCAACATCACTGGTTTTGAGGAGAGACTGGAGTTTGACTCTCAGTACACGTTCAAGGTTTGTACAAGATACTGTTTTGTGTTTTTCTGCCAAATGGAGGTTAGCTTTGCTCCTCTCAAAAGTTGAGAGCAGAGCAGAGAACACATTTCGATGTAACAGTTTGACAAAAAGTTATTTTGGATCATATTGATCCTAGATCTGTGCCCAGGTGTGTTTTCCACAGGAGTGGGTTATACACAGTGAGTAATATTGTGTGTGTGTGTCTCCCCCAGGTGGATGAGGTAGTGGAGGTGGATAGAGAGATGGCCAGCATCCTCAGCCAATCCAGGTTTGCTGAGGAGTTCACTTTCCAACCGCCCGGGGTACCTTCTGGATGTAGTGTAAAGAAACCCAAGGTTTGCGCCAATAACAAGACAGTTGCACCTAATGTGTCATAAAACTCTGAGTTCTAGAGGTGGATGTGGTTGCAGGGTGTGTGTATAAATGTCATGATGAATGTGTATAAAATTCATGACACACTGTGTGTCTGTATAAAGTTCATGACACATCCACTGACACCTTCCCACTGTGAATTCTAAATTGACCCCTAGTACCTACACACACAGGCACACACACACACACACACACACACACACACACACCAAGGTCAAGCAGATGTGCTGCAGTCACAACTAGGCTGTGTTAGAGCCCTGCTGGGAACCTTAACCAGGAAGGAATGTATGTCCTCCCGTCAGCCAATGGAATGTCTCAATGTCTTCTTATCATGGTCTCTCATGGTCACTGAAACCACACACACATTAGCGCAAGCACAAAACACACACACACACTGAGGACTATATTTGGTTTGTTTATATTTCCTACAGTTTGAATGTTTTCATACTCCCTACACATTCTTCAGGCTGTGGGTGTTTAGTTTAGCCTTGGTCCTAAGGAGGCTGAGGCTGAGGCTGATTAAGAGTTAATCTAGGTTGTTTTACAATGCATTATACACAGTATTATAACCGCATCATAATGCATTACACCTGTTGTCTCTCAGTAAAGGGTTACCACTAGCTTTGGGACACAACGTCGGTAGTCTGTGTATTGGTTGGACTCCCTGAGTTGTGCATCGTTCTGGTGGTTGGCAATGGAAAATAGCCACCCTCTATTTACCAGACATCAATTGAAATGTGTCCCTCACTATCAAATAAATGTCAGAATCCAACTTTTGTCCGAACCGCACCATATTCCTGTCAAGATAGACCACGCACTTCACACAAGTCTTCCTACCACGAAATCTACCACTGTTCACACAGCAGGAATATGATGCGGTTTGGACAAAAGTCGGATTCAGATGTTTATTTGATAGCGAGGGACACATTTCACTTTATGTCTGGTAAGTGGAGTTCCTAGAGATTATACATATGCGTTTGTTGACAGGAATTTTTTTGGGGTGAAGCCGGCTATAATGTGGTATGGTTATTTTCCGTTGCCAACCACCAGAACGATGCACAACTCAGGGAGTCCAACCAAAACACAGACTAAAGGTGTTGTGTCCCAAAGCTAGTTACCAGGTAATTGATTTAGTTCGCTCCTAACTCTCGTTTAGTTTAGTTGATTATTATATATCTCTACCTTTTGGACTGTCTGTTGCAAGTGAACTCTGGGCCTGTATCCACAAAGCATCTCGGAGTAGCAGTGCTGATCTAGGATCTGTCCATATAATCTTATTCATGATGATCTAAAAGGCTAAACTGATCCTAGATCAGCATTCCTACTCTGAGATGCTTTGTGGATACGGGCCCAGGTCATGATCTCATGCAGTAATAAACTGTATGGAAAGTACGTAATGCAAGCTACAGCTTCAGACAAACAGTGATAAGATAAACTAATAGCAGATAAAAACATATTGCATAGTCACCAATTCCAATCCAGGGTCGCTGACAGCATTTGCATAATATGACTCGCCATGGAGTTTGATATTTGATGTAATAAATGTGATTTATATTATTTAAATGGGATTTCTCTGTAATGAATTGACTGGAGGTTAAATGGAATAGACCCTAACCTTGTAAGATAGGGGAGTTATTATCATATAAGGTTATTACATAACGCACTACCATGAAGTTGTGTAAATATGGCCCTGCAGAGTTTTTCTGTGATTTCCAGGGAAACCATGTGCTGTCTGTCATGCTGTGTGTCATTGCAGGTGGGTACAGTGAATCCCTTTGAACTGGTGCTGCAGCTGGGGAGTGCAACGGTCTCTTCTGCCACAGGGGGGTGCTGTGGTGCAGAGTCATCCTGTTGCAAGTGAGGGGGTACCCAAGATATGAGAGAGACAGAGATAATGATTATACTGTGTATGAATGAACAATAATTGTAATTCATGTCAAACTATGGATTTTTGTCATGCCTTAAATTAGGCTCATGTTTTAATTGTATAACTGTGTGAATATTGTCATAATCCAAATACATTTCCGGCAGTGAAGTGGTCAGTGTCTCTCTTTAATGAAGTAGGCCTTAGATTTCAAGATGGGTGTGTGGGAGAGCAATGCAAAAAATATATCCACTGCAGTGGAGGCTGGTGGGAGGAGCTATTGGAGGATGGGCTCATTCTAATGGCAGTAATGGAATGAATGGAACGGTATCAAACATTGCATATATGGACAAACCACGTTTGACTCCGTTCCATTAATTCCATTCCAGCCATTACAATGAACCCATTCTCCGATATTTCCTCCCACCAGCCTCCACTGATCCACAAGGGAAAGAACACTCAGGATATCAAAGTTATATGCTTAGTATTTTATTTATAAATACCCAACGTTTCGACTAGGTATTTTTCAAGGGTGAGGATAATCCTGCAGTCTGTATTCATACAAGTTCAAGTGAACAACAGGTGGCAACAATTAGTCATTTCAATTAGACAATTGGTTAGCAATCAAGTCACAGTTGACAATATATTTCTATATACAATATTTACAAAGGTATACATATTAGACAATACATTTAGACAGAATCATAGGTCAACATGATATACACTGAGTGTACAAAACATTAAGAACAGCTTCCTAATATTGAGTTGCACCCCCTCTCAGAACAGCCTCAATTCATCGGGGCATGGAATGTTGAAAGCGTTCTACAGGGATGCTGGCCCATGTTAACTCCAAAGCTTCCCACAATTGTGTCAAGTTTCTACTTGTTGTGGGTATGTACTGACATGTATGTGTAACTAATAGAAACACACACACTACATGTTCATGTTCTTAAATGTATGTAAAGTATTTTGTCTGTAATGTATTTTTTGTTATGTGTCGGACCCCAGTAAGACTAGCTGTTGCCATTGGCGTTGGCTAATTGGGATCCTAATAAATCAAATCAACATCAAATCAAGTTGACTGGATGTCCTTTGTGTGGTGGACCATTATTGATACACACAGGAAACTGTTGAGTGTGAAAAAACCAGCATAATTGCAGTTCTTGACACAAACCGGTGTGCCTGGCACCTACTACCATACCCCGTTCAAAGGCATCTTGTCTTGCCCATTCACCCTCTGAATGGCACACATACACAATCCATGTCTCAAGGCTTAAAAATCCTCCTTTAACTTGTCTCCTCCCCTTCATCTACACTGATTGAAGTGGATTTAACAAGTGACATCAATAAGGGGATTTGGGGTTTCACCTGGATTCTATGTCAGTGATGGATAACTTTGATGGGGGTGGGGGCCACAAAAGAAGGGGCTGCAGTGGTTAGTGGGTCTGCATACCCACATCCATCCCCCCTCCCCACCTTGCGAGCAAAACATTTTAGGGGCCCCCCTCATGACAGCTAATCGAAAGAAAAAAAGTGTTAAAGTTAGTTTCCTGCAATTCTGCACATTTTGCCATGGGGTGTAGAGAAAATGTTCCAGTTTTAAAACAAGTTTGCTGCAATTCTACACATTTTGCCATGTGGCTGAGAGAAGATTTTGCAATTTTATAACTCATTTCATGCAATTCTACTCTTTTTACCATGGGGTGGAGCCAATTTTTTGTTTTTGCAGTTTTTAATATGATAACTGACGATCAATGGCCCCCACTCCAGTCGGTAATTCCACCATGCTTACTACACGTTTAGATAGCTGGCCACTAGACTAATTTACCAATCTAAATTGTTTTTGCTGACATGGGCTAATTGATGCACAATCAAATTTCGAAATTGCATCTTGTATATTCTATTATTTTAACTCTCAACAGTATATGTTGAGACCCCGACTGAGTTGTTTATTTTATTGATCAGCGTGCCTACAAAAGGGGGGCTTGGGGCCACATGCAGCCAGTTGCCCATCCCTGGTCTATGTCATGGAAAGCGCAGGTGGTGGTGTTCATAATGTTTTGTACACTCAGTACAGATAGGGCTATTTTTTTCAAATAAAATTGTATTGGTCGCATACACATATTTAGCAGATGTTATTGCTGGTGTAGAGAAATGCTCCCATGACTTGTGCAAAGGCAAAACAATATTGATACAAATAAATCAGAACATGGCCATGATACAGTAGGCTAAATGTTTTTAAATAAAAAAAGGTCTGAGATCAAATTCCTCATTAAGCCCCCCAGGGGAGAGTGTCCAGGTAGTGGATTCAGAAGCATTATCGTTTTAGTAGGTTATCACCCCTAAGGGGCATGTGAGTGTTGGATGTCCATTGGATTCTGTGAAGTGTTTGGTGACAGGAGATTGCTGATCTTTTCTACGAATGGATGACTTATGTTCGGTGATGCGGACCTTAAGTTGTCACTTAGCACGTAGGCCTAAACTGCCCATTAGCCAGTTCTTGAGAATTTGTAGGAACTGCTCATCCATATCTAAATTTGAGACTAACACTTGCTTTGTCCTACCGCTTCAAGGAACGGGGATAGAAGGACACCTGGATAAAGACAGCCTACAATCGGGCAAAGGACACTGAAAGAGATCAATTGCTGAGTCATGCACAAAATGGAGAAAAAGCAATCGTGTTTTCACTTCCACCTTTACACCCGCTCTCTAGCAATTAAGAACATTGTAAATATACATTGGCACATATTGACGTCTGATTCCAAATTAAAATATGCATTCAAAGACCCTCCTCTGTTCGCCTATAGGAGAGCACGCAATCTCAGAGATGCACTGGTCCAATCAGATGTGGATGCGCGTCTACAGCGCTACCACCCGCGCACAGTTGGACACATTCCTTGCTACAACTGCATCCATTGTCATAACACCTATACACTGGTTAGCCGACAACGTCAGAAGGACATGTGTTGTTATGGTTCTGGATGGCCAGATAGCTAGCAACAATGACAAGACACTGCCATGTGGTGAATTTTAAGTGGGTCGATTCTGCTAGTTTTATCTTGTTCTTGATACCTTATCTTTTTTTTTGTTGGTGTTTTGACTGATGTCACCTCTTTGCTAATATGGCTCAAATTCGCTAACTAGCTAACCAACAACTCTAACAATGTATTTGAGAGAAAACAAGTGTTCATTGTGCAACTTTATTTATTCTTTCAATAAACATTGGAGACTAAATATAGTTTACATGTTAACAACCCTGTCTGTTTTGCCCCATAGTTCTGCAGGCGTCGGTTTTGTTGCGAAACAACCAACCCCTGAAGAGCACGGAAGTATTCCATCACCCGAAAACAGGGAAAACCATCAATATACGCAGCAGAATCACCTGTGCTTCATCGCATGTTGTTGATTTACTTTGTTCCATGTTCTGATATGTCAGGCAGAATAGGCCTATTGTCCATGCGTGGACATGTGTGCCTTTGTCACCATAATCCCTGATTGGACAGATAGGCCTAATGACTCTACTACCTCAATGTGATGTTGTAATACTAGTCAACCTATCCCTACTTTGTGAAAGTAGCCCATTGAAATGTGATTCATTCATAACACCGCATCATGCGTAGGCTAAATTGCCTATAAATGGTTGATTACTTAATTATGATAGGTCTAATTATTTTCACACAAGTACATTGTACGCTATAGTATTAAACATAAAATGTCTTACTCATGCGTCTAGGCATTTTGCGTAATTGTCTGTTTATTAGGTTAATATCACGCATGGTGATATACTGTACGTTTGGTCCAATGCCTATCATGCATTTGTATTGGTTTGGTTGGTCACCCACCCCTCCCTACAATTAGGCTTTGCAGATCATCTTTAAATAGCCTACAAAACATACCCTAGGCTAAGAGGCATTGTGACTGCTTGTTTGGTCATCTTAAGCATCTAATCTAAAATGCATAAAGAATGTCACATAGCCTAATAGCATGCATTCCATTCAGTCCTCTGAAACAGCTCTCTCCCTCTACCTCTCACTCTCTTCTGCATCCTGTCTTACTCCTATTCAATGGAGAGAACGTTGCATAATGACGCACCGTTCACTCCCCCCAGATAAATAAAATATTATGGATCTACCCACCAATTCATGATTTATTGGTTGCCTCTGAAATCCATCTGAAAAAGTCACGAGGAAAGTGTCTTGGGCTTTTTTGCGTGAGGTGCGCTTGTTTTGGAATTTCATTCGTTGGAGCTGCGGCGAAAACCCCGCCCCGTCCAGCTGCCGCACTGGATTGGGTGCTACGGTCGTCTATCTCCGGGACATCAGGCTTTGCACGAGTTCGCTCTAGGAGTAATCAGTTTCGGACGCGTAGTGGAACCAAGCGCTTGGGTCCCCGATGCTGCACAAATCACGGCGACCCCCGGTGGAGATGAAGGCGGACTCCGATTGGCTCTGATTTTTAAAAGCCTTTTTCATTCAGGAGGTTGCCCATTATCAACATGGCTGAGCCGTCGGCCCCAGTACCCACTGCAAAAATGGCGTCACTTAGCCGGGTTCGAGCTCTGACGATGATTTTCTTAACTGTCAGCGGTTGTTTGGTCACCTCGACAAGTGGCAAGGAAGGAGGGGTAGAGTCGGACACGGTTATCATCGGGCTCCGGTTGGAGGACACGGACGACATTTCCTTTATGGATAGGGGCTACCTACGGGTGAGTGAACGGTCTCGTGTCAAATTGAGGGTCTATGGGCAAAACATAAACAACGAGACCTGGTCCAAAATTGCATTTACGGAACACGAACAGATCCGACATGTCGAGGACATCGACAGCTCGTCGGGGGACAACGGGAGTAAAGAGGATACGTCTGCGCATCCCTGCGGTATCAGGACCTCGGATATAATCATCTTGCCCAACATCATTCTAAGTCGCAGAACGTCGGGAGTAGTTGAAATAGAGGTCAAACCCCTGCGAAAAACCGAAAGGAGTAAATCGTATTACCTGTGCATTGCCACCTCGACACCTGCCCACCACGCCGCCGGCCTGCACGACCCATGGACCGAAAACACCTGGATTTACCACGATGGGGATGATACTAAAGTGATAGTTGTGGAGGAGAAGAGGTTTCTGCTCCCCTTCTGGCTTCAAGTCATCTTTATTTCCATGTTGCTGTGTCTGTCAGGCATGTTCAGCGGGTTGAACTTGGGACTGATGGCACTGGACCCAATGGAGCTCCAAATAGTCCAGAATTGTGGCACGGAGATGGAGAAGAATTATGCCAAAAAGATAGAGCCGGTTAGGAGCCAAGGAAATTACCTGCTTTGCTCACTTCTCCTAGGCAACGTGCTCGTGAATACAACTCTAACTATCTTATTTGATGATATTGCAGGGTCTGGGCTTATAGCTGTGGTGATGTCAACTATTGGAATTGTCATCTTTGGAGAGATTGTCCCTCAAGCCATTTGCTCAAGACATGGCCTTGCCGTTGGCGCCAACACCATTTTCCTCACCAAGTTTTTCATGCTGCTCACGTTCCCTGCATCATACCCAGTGAGCAAACTTCTAGATTACCTTTTGGGCCAGGAGATAGGCACCGTGTACAACCGTGAGAAGCTTTTGGAGATGCTCCGAGTCACGGATCCGTACAATGATCTGGTCAAAGAGGAGTTGAACATCATTCAGGGGGCTTTGGAACTACGGACTAAGACTGTGGAGGACGTGATGACCCCGCTAAGAGATTGTTTTATGATTCCAGGTGATGCTATCCTCGACTTCAACACCATGTCCGAAATTATGGAGAGCGGCTACACGCGCATCCCCGTGTTCGAGGGCGAGAGGTCCAACATTGTGGATCTATTGTTCGTGAAGGACTTGGCGTTTGTCGACCCAGATGATTCTACACCGCTGAAAACCATCACTAAGTTTTACAGCCATCAGCTGCATTTTGTGTTCAATGACACCAGGCTGGATGCCATGCTGGAGGAGTTCAAGAAAGGTGAGAGGGGTTTCATTTTTTTGGGCCGACTGTATCCTGTCAATCAAATGATCATGCCATTTCAAGCAAAATATATGATGACCGTTCCATCATGGCTTTAATTTGGGATGTAGCCTATGGCCTAGGTATTCATTGCAAATGTGAGAATAATGTTTAATCAAAACACAGACATATTATATAATAGCCTAACCTAGACATACAAGTGTTGCTATGCTTTAGTAGGTAGTCAATTCACTGTATTACAAATCAGGTGGTATTTGCCTCTGGGAACAACAGTGTCCCAGTTCCTTGACTGTATGTAGAATGTCACACAATTGACGTAATGATATCCAGATCAGATCCCCTTCTATGATAATACTATGACATCATAGAGAGCTCAAAGACCATTTCCCTTTTGAAGATGTTCACGTAATGTGTGTATTACTGTCTAATAACAGATTACTGTCATTTAAAATTTGACTGAGACACATGAATGACCTCACAGCACAGATGGCCTGCTGTCCTTCAGGTGTCTCCTTAATGCCCCAAGTGTTTCAAGTGAGTAAACAAAGATGTTGAGCCAAACCATGAAACCCGATTTTCAGGAAAAATATGGAGTGTGGTGTTGCTCCATCATGAAGGATGTCACAAAAAATCTCAGATAAAAGGAAAAAAATAGGCGAGGTGAGGTGGGGAGGAATGGCATCCTAAAGTAGCTGGATGCCATTCCTTGTCAGAGATGTAAGGGCGCATTTGTTTTCACCTCTTGGGTCATTTCCTGCAAATAAAAGGTGGAGAGGGGGAATGTTCATTTTATCTTTCACCATCACTTCCATTCCTCGTTAATGTTCACACGGTTCCCCTCCCACTCTCTCTCTCTCTCTCTCTCTCTCTCTCTCTCTCTCTCTCTCTCTTGCTTCTCTCTCTCTCTCTCTCTCTCTCTCTCTCTCTCTCTCTCTCTCTCTCTCTCTCTCTCTCTCTCTCTCCACCCCTATCTCCCTCTATGGTTTGTGAATTGCATTAGGAAATTCATTCATGGGAATGGTACAATCGCGTCAGTGCTAAGGTTATCAGGTGGGGGCATCTTGTTTGAGAACCTACTTAAATCCCTCCTCTCCCTACTCTGTGTTGTGTGCATTGCCTCTGAGTGATGGCGGTGATAACTCCCTTCGTCCAGCCCACTGGAATGCAGTAGTGTGGATAATGAATAACTGCTCTCTCTTAACAACCACGGAGTTACACTTTATGACATCGTTATTCACTTTGTAAAGTTTTCATTTTAAGGTGGGTTTTGGTTTCGTCACAATCTGACACTGACATTCACACCTGTCTGTTGATAGCAGGAACGATAGACGTTTTGATCAGGCAGCTTCTGTGCACACGGTTGTTACATCATTACGGTTGTTACATCATTACGGTTGTTACATCATTACGGTTGTTACATCATTACGGTTGTTACATCATTACGGTTGTTACATCATTTACACTTTGTGACCTATCATACTGAACTTTAAGACTTGTTGTGACAATGTTCATCTACTGCATAGCTTTCTATGACTATGATTTCACTGAACCTCCTTTTTTCAGAGAAATAATGTAATTTAGGCATTTTATATTCATTATTCATTAGTGTTTTGGTTTATTGTAAAATCCGATTGAATGAGAAGTAAATCAATGGAAAAATAACTGTGCTTGTCAAAGTAGCCTTGTTTGAAGGCTAATGTATAATATGTTACATAATATGCATACTAATCCATTAGGTCACATTCATTTTAAGGTTTCTGTGAGTGTTGAACAATCTTTACGGTATGCATTTGCATTTAATTAATGCATGGATATGATTAGCAGACTAGAAGGTGGTTAGAACAGAACTGCAGCTGCATTGATAATCTTATCTATTATAGGATATTACTGACCTATGGCCAGTCCTTTTGACATCATCAGTGATCCCAGAACATGACCCTTATAACCTCTTATTATCTACCACCACAGCTCCCATTCACTAAAGCCAACAGCCTGGCTCTTTTACCTTCAGTTTTGTACACCAGCTTCAAACAGCTGAAAATACAGTAGCTTTGGTTATGGAATATATATTTCACAGTGGTTGAGATGGTACAGTGATTCTCTACACTATACTTGCTTGTTTTGTCACATAAACTGAAATTACTATTAGAATTTTAGCAACCAGGAAATGGCGGAACGATTTATGCATAGTGCATGTTTTAGAACGGTAAGCATAGAAATAGTGCACATATAACATATCTACCGCTTCTTAGACTTGCTTTCGATGAGAATGACAGATCTATAACACATTTCTATGTGAATTTGGTTGGGTCGCCCAAAAAGTTACATATTGCAGCTTTAAAGTTCTAGATATAACCTTTTTTATTATTGTACATAGAGGTAAGGTAGGTCAGACCAAAGCCTAGTCCTCCAGGTCCCAGCCTCCCAGCCAGGCCACGAGGCCAGGTGCCAGTGCGGTCTCTGGGTTCCTGTTCTTGGCTGTGCTCCAGAGGGAACTCACCTTCCTTCCGTCCAACCTCTGGAGCGGTTGTAAATCCTGAGGAAGGGAGGTCAAAGTTTCTCGTCAATCTGGCTCTAGTCACGGCACCACACTCGGTTCAAAGTGCTTTGTATTGTAAGTCATTGTTAATTAATTTGACTGCCTCTTGTGGAGCTGGTTGCTGCACAGCCGTCTGAAGTTGGGTTGAAGAAAGAAAGAAAATACCCTCCCGCCAACACCCACACACTGTAGACATACACTGAGTATACAAAACATTAAGAACACCTGCTCTTTCCATGACAAAGACTGACCAGGTGAATCCAGGTGAAAGCTATGATCCCTTATGGATATCACTTGTTAAATCCACTTCAATGAGTGTAGATGAAAGGGAGGAGACAGGTTAAAGAAGGATTTTTAAGCCTAGAGACAGTTGGGACATGGGTTGTCTATGTGTGCCATTCAGAGGGGTGCAACTCAATCTTAGGAAGGTGTTCCTAATGTTTGGTATACTCAGTGTAGAGCACATGAAAAGTATAATTGGTTTCACTGTTGATCTCAGGGTTTCTTAGGATTTTGAAATAGCAGTTTCTTGCTGGCTCTGTGTGTGTTTGAAGAGGATGCTTTCACTTTCTGCACTGCAACTGTACAGTAAACCAGCTTCCATCATGAAGAGTGATAAGGAGCACCAGAAAGTCAAAAATCCAGTGGGGGCATTTCTTAGTACTATGCCCCCATGCTAAGGTTCAGGTTGGTGGCTTGACCTAAGCCTACGTCCGGGCTATCGTCATCCTAGACCTTTAAATCAAGACAGACAACCCCTTGGAAACTTCTGAACCCCTTTGTTAGTTTTTGTCAGATTGAAACAATTTCTGACAATTAGCGACTACTAGTGACAATTAGTGACAGTGACAATTAGTGATTACTAGCCATACAGTACAGGAGGTCAGGTGGTCAAACAGCAGGAATAGTGTGTTAATGAGCGGGTCATCGTGAGCCATTTGGGATGAACCCAAGTAGCACACACAGAATGGGGCCAGTCACGCTCATGTCCGGTCTTGTTTTTTGAACGAATGAATGTCACTCACCACAGCTGTACTACCCGCCTTCAGGTTTTACCAGTCTTATGTTGTCATATTTCCTAGACACGTGACATATTTACGAAGGTAGATATCAAGGTTCGCCTTTTAGTTGTGTTTTGAATGATACACACACAAACACACACAAACACACACACACACACACAGGGTTGATTTTGATCTTATCCCTCCCTGAACTCCATAACCTTGGACAGTGTAACTTGGCCCAGTGCCAGTCAACACTTCAGGTGGGAAGGACTGCTGTCGTTCAAACTAAGCAGCGCATCGCCATCGTTCCTGGAATGTGTCATTCCTCGGTTTCTAGCCTGCTTCATTCCACTCGTGTCTGTTTCTGTCTCATATATAACTAGAATACTATGTGCTGTATGTGATTGTTTGGGGTTGAGAAAGAGGCCTCCAGTGTAGACTACACTGTAAAAACAGAAAGACTCAAAACCACCATGATTGTGTAATGAATACACAGATAGTGTTTTAAAACAGAATAAAAGTACACTGAAACACCCAAAGTTGTTCTTCAGTTTTAATATTGGGGTTTTTAAGAGAGTGCTGTGAAAACACTTTTGGGGGTTTTCAGTGCATGTAAAAGGCAGCATCAAAACACACAAAATATATATTTTTTTGCAGACTACACTGAGTATACCAAACATTAGGAACACCTTCCTAATATTGAGTTGTTTCAATGATTTGTTCATTTCATTTTACCAAAAAATTTAAGAATAAATCCAACTTAATATGTTTCTCAAAATGTAAGATATTTCATATGAGGATAACCAAAGATAGAGGACATTTAGGGATTTAACTAATCTTCCCACGTGGCTCTGTTTTTAGAGGATTGTGGGTAATTCTAAAGAAAAATATTTTATGATTATTTTACGCAATGTTATATGCATGTATGAAGAAATAAATGTATACTATATATTAGTATTAAGTAACTTGTTGTTCCATGAGGTGTAATGGATCACGATGAATGGATATCAAAACCGTCAGGCAAAATGACGTTCAATTATGAGACGACACATTCCCACATTTCCAACTTTTAATTGTAGAGGCAAATACAGTATCCTGCGATGTTTGCTGTAATGTAACCTCCAGTTACTGCTGGTGGATTGAGCACTGTGCTCAAAAATGCCTGCCAAAATTCTGCACTAAACAGAACTTGAAACATCAAAATAGTGTTTTCAACCTTTTCCGGAAGTGCTCCTGGCAAGGCGTTGCACAATGCTTGATAAATTGGTGTTATAACACACCATGTCATGTTTCAAAACATCTCAGGATGATGTATTTCAATACTCCAGCAAAGTTAAGGTTTTGTCACCTTTGCGTTGGTGGCAGCACAGTTGCCACTAGTTTTGGTGTTACAAAGCACTTCATTTTAACAGTGTGCTAGAGGCTACATGAGCCCTGGCACGTATTGAACTAGTTCGCCCCTTTCCTACAATATAGGCCAATCTATGCTTAATTCAGATTCAGCAGCCTTTCTCCTTCCTTTTTGTCTTAAAGTGAAACTAACCTCGTTGATATTGAAGTATTTTAACACTTTCAGGGATATTGCTTCAGCGGACGCACTTCGAATTCATATCATTTCACAAAGGTGGTTTTAAATTCTCGGCAGCAAATAAAGCTGTGCTTGAGTGTTTGTTCGCCTGGTAACAGTTCTAATAATGCCGAAATAAGAGGTGGGATTAAATGGCGTCATGTTGGCAGTGGGACAGGAATGGCTCCCGGTGAGGGATACCCCTTTGAACACAGTATGACTTCTCCTTCAGGACTCTTTACTTTATCTATTGATTACATGCTTCACCTGAATGTGGATTGGTTGTGTCGGTTTTAGTCACTCTGTCTCACTAAACAAGAGTTAATTTTACCTCAGTTTTTTTGTATGCAACTAAAACTAGGCATGTTTTGGCAAGCTTGAAGTGTTCAATGAAAGCGTGGAACGTACTGTAGCTAGATGATGGGTTTGAAGTAGTTCTGAGAATCAGACCTGGGTTCAAATACTATTTCAAATTGTTCTAGTACTTTGAGTGTTTTCTTTAGCCTGCCTGGAGGGCCATATTGGCGTGGTTTGCAGTTATTGTGACTACTCTATTGAATCCAGGTCTGTTGAGAATAAATACACTTCTGTGATCAGTTTGTTTGAGCCGATAGTGTTAAAAGCCAGGCTTTTCAAATGGCCTACATTCCTCAAATTCTGGTATAACATGGAGTGGACTTTTTAAAGGCCAGGTGCAGACAAAAACGTGATTTTCCTGTGTTTTATATATATTTCCACACTTTGAGGTTGGAATAATACTGTGAAATTGTGAAAATGATGATAATGCCCTTTTAGTGGTAGAGCTGTTTCAATAGACCTCCTGAAATGTCATCCTGTTCTGGTGGGATGGAGTTTTGGCATGTCTGGTGACATCACCATGCGGTAAATTGGTTAAAAGACCAATAAGAAAGATAGTTCCAAACCTCTCTGCCAATAACAGCTAGTTTTCAGTTATCCCCTCCCCACTCAGACCACTCCCAGACAGTCCTAGCAAAGTTCTTGCTTGAGAAACCTTTGCCCATTTTCATGGAATCTATTACAGTAAAGTGCTTAATTGTTAG